GAATGGCAAGCCATGTATTCTGAATTATGATGATGTTTCCCACCTGCTTCTCTCACAAGCAATCTTACCTGTTATTTGACTGTCTTTGAAACCAGCAGATAAAATTATCACATCAACAGCAAAGTTCCTGGAAAGTTAACATTTCCACTATCAGGACACCAGGTTTGGCAATTCCAGTAAATTTCAGTTTCTCAGTCTAATATGACACTGCGATTTGCCAAGGAGTTTTTGGTTGGAGTGAGTGATGCATGTGTGTAAAGTCAAGAGAGATTTACATCCACTTACCAATTAATTTAAACTATTGTCAACAACTGGAGATGCAATAAGCAACAGAGGATCAGCTTCATCAATATTGCAGAAACCTGCCCAGGTAGAAATTATTTCCCTGAGATAGAAAGAAAATGCCTCTCCTGCAGTAAGCCATGTTATTAAACAAGTTTAATGGTACTGTGACTCAGCTAAAATATTTTTTTTTCCTCTACTAAATGATTTGGAAACAAGTGCTTATATAAATATATATATATATTTAATTCTGACCTACTTCTTATAAATTATATTAAACAAGATTAAGTATGCATTTGCATCAGCAACATTTCACAGTCAAATGCTGGATGACAGAAAGAGCTAGCTTACTTTCTTTCCAATCCCATGCCATGAATCAGTGAATTAATTTACCAGTGGATGTGGAGCACAGTGTCATGAAGCCTGTTTTATAAGCAACCATCAGTGCTGTGCAATGAAATTCTTCTAATGAGCAAATGTTTCGGATAGACAAACTGCTCTGTAATTTGGTCACTGTAGGAAGTAGAATGAGAATTTCCAGCCCCGATTCCTGAAGGACAGTACCTGCCAGTACTGACTTTAAGATTATTTTTTTTCTGGACACTTCATGACCTATTATAAAAAGGTCCTTTATTCATATAAATAATTCTTGCGATACTCCGTAAAATAACTTGCACATATAGGTAGTTGCTTGAATAACAGCTACAGAATTTGATCTTACAGGAATGACTTCAGCAGAGATTCCTAAAGAATCCATCATTCGTGGTGAAAATCTTAAACTTGGTTAGAAGTAATGAAAAACTATGTGCTATTTGTAAATCTTTACTTAGTCTGTATCTACCTGCAGTAACAACATCATTCTCAGATTTATTTTAATGGAATCTGAAGCCAGAGAGAAGCTTGTGCCCTGCAGCTGACCTCTGCAGAGCTCCTGAAGTGAACGGATAGCAGAAGTCAGTCATTTAGTAAAGGCAGAAGAGTCAACAGTGCAGCAGCGTGACAGAGAAAAGGAAATCGGGACACATGAGAATCTCATTTTTGTCCACCTAAGTATGAACTAAAATGTCAGCTATCCAATAGGAAACTGTTGTAGGGCAATGCGGTAAAAACAAACAAATAAATAAATAAATAAAGCCCTCCCCACCTCAATATTTTTAAAATAATAATAATTAAAAACTTCTAACACTATTTACTAGACAGACTGCTATGAAAAATAAATAAATAAATGTAAGCACTTGGTCAGTCTGGCAATACTAAAGGTTAACTTGCTGAGGTTGGCAACTGTGCTTAAAAAATGAATTCTGTCTGAAAAAAAGAAGTACTTTAAAACATTTTTTTTAGATGGACTTTATTCATGTGTGTTTATTAAATTCAAAGACCACAGCCTGGAAGTGTGAAAAGCACCTTTTGCTTGTCAAAAGTCAAGATGATCTGACATGAGAGGTGTTGGGGTGTGAAGCAGCCTGCAGGGCTTGGCCCACTGTACACAGCTTCAGAAAAAGTAATGAATGCCAAGGGACTCTGAGGGACAGAAGAGACTCCAAGATGTTGTGATGGCTTAATTACCATGTCCTCACTGACTGAAGTAGGTAAAAATGCTGTAAGATTTCTTCGTATGCATTTTGCAGTTTAATTGTAGTCTCTGAAAGGCCAAGGCACAATGGTTCCCAACATCGGACCCAGGGAACCACCAAAGCTGATGATCTGAGAACACAAAGCCATGTACTTACCATTAGTGCCATTCATGCTTCTCTGCCTTCATTGATGAACATGTTCCTGGCTCCCAAAAGTCAGCCTCAGACAGAGCTGCAAGCAGCACGCTGTATTTCATAACCCTGAGCTCCATTCCCATTATTGCTCCTTACGGCAGTTTTAAAGATGTGCTTTATTTAAATAAGCTTCTCTTCATTGAAATAACTGCAACAGATGTTTTATGTTCTGTTTGTTTAGCTATGTGGTAACACTGTGGAGAGAGATTAAATTAACTCCCCAAGCAGCATATTTCTAGGGTGAAGCTAAAGAAGACAGAGAAGCATATGTCCAAGGGAAAGTCAAGCATGCATTCAAGGGACGGATAGATTGGCAGCACTGCACGTACTGATTCTTTACATGGTTTCATTGCTTTCGGTGCAAAAGTGTGCATCACATCACCGAGATCGGCAGGGCGCTTACTGTGCTTTTTTAAGCTTCAGAGTTGTGATAACGGAAATGGATTAATTCTAAAGCTTATGGCTAATTTATCTTTGTTCTCCTGAACCATATTTCCCTATATTCCCCTAATGTTCCTGCATTTTTATGTATTAATAATCTTTGTCTACTGTACAGATTAACATATATCACAGTTAAAAGTGTTATTGAAGAAAGGGTATTGGGTCATGTCACATATTTCACTTCTTAACGCTCAGCAAGGCTAGAATGAAATTTCAGGGCCTTCATTAAAGCATAATAGTAATTTATTTGATGAAATGTAAAAGATTAAAAAAAAATCCTGTTAACAATTCGTTGAAGCTGGGTCATGGAAACTTCATCACATTGCATACACTTGGATAATCAAGGCTGCCCAGCAATCTTTCTTAAAAAAATAATAGTAATAAAAAGATATATTTTAAAGCTTTTTGTATACTGAGTAAATAAATCCAAACACTGTACAAATTCAGTAGTGAAATATCTGTCATGATTTTAGCCTTGCTTGTCATCATTAACAGAACGATAGATCCACCCACGAGTCACAAGCACCATGACAAACCGTGTTAAGTCAAGATGACAACTTTTCTCATCTAAATGAAAAAAGAAGTCAAGAAAATGTCACTGTTCCCAGACTGAAGTCTTCTGACAACACAAAGTTAATGACACCACAACAATCTTTCTCAACAGATGCCTTTAACTATAACTTTGATGTGAGAAACATGCTTTGAGCACGGCGTATTCTCCAAAGCATTAGTCATGAATAGGCATCTTGGGTCAGATTCACTTCTCTTCTTTCCAGGTCTGGATATACAGAGTTATTTTGGTTGTATCTCCATTTGAATGGTGAACCATTTTGAATTAATGGAGCAGGACACATTTAAGTATGAACTTTGGTAACTTGTGCACTGTAATGGTGTAGGATTTATTGTGTTGTATACAGCACGTTTTTGTGTGGAGTACCTTGTGTCCAACACAGGGGGAAAAAAAAAAAAGAAAAAAAAAAGTGAATGCTCTTTGAACTGCTTTTAGAAGAGCTAAACCAAGCAGCTGAGATAGCGAAATTAAAGGCATTTGGTAGCAAACTCAGAGATGTCAGAAGGCTGACATCAGATGGCTGATGATGTCAGAAGATGTGAGACAGAAGATGGGGCTGAGAAAGCATCAGCATTTTCTGATGATCCAGAAAATGCTTGCTACTATCCAATACAAAGAGAATTTATGTTTAAAAAACATAAAAGCCAACAGTTTAATGCTAGGTTGAATGTTTCCATCGATAGCTCAGGCAGGAAAAGCATGGTCTTACAGCTAGGGAAATGACTGGTTTAGAAATGATCGATGCTTCTGTTCCTGGACCTTTGGACTGAGCTGTCATTCTGCACATCGCTGAGTCTTAGCTCCCTGAGAGGAGGACAGTGTTGCTTGCATACCTGAGTCCTCTCAAATTGTAAGGTGTGTATTTTTAGAGCTCCAGGTTCCCCATTTTGCAGAAGAGGAGGTAAAGCACAGAGAGATTACTGCAGTATGTGTGAGGTTGTTCTGGAAGTTTGCAGGAGGGGTAGGATGTAACAGGTTTTGTGCTACCTTTTTGACCTTCTGTTCTTCTCCCAGTCTTGACCAGGCTTGTTCATCATTTGTCGTGGAAGAAATAGCTGGTTGTATCTATACCTGCTCAGTTATCCTTAGCACCATCTGTTGTTGCTTTTTCAAATCAACATAAAGAGTGTTCATATCCCTGCAGTGTGCTTCCATGGTTTCTGAGCTGTGCTAAGAGCATCCCCACGGTGTGCTTCCCTTGTTTCCTAGCTGTGCTATGAAACCCTGACAATCTGCATCTCTTCTCTGCAGGGCCACCCTCCCAGTGCACACATAGCTGCATCTCCTTCCGAGACATGTATAGATGCATGACTCCGTTCTCTGCACAGCCTTTTTGTTCTTTCACATAAATTCATTCATGCCAGCTTTTCATCAATTACTGTGTTTATGCCCATTCATTATTTAGTGGATGATAAAGAAATGGTATAATTCAGAAAAGCACAACACCAGGAAAACAAGTGGACGAGGTTTCCTTCAGCTAGCTGAAGAGGTGTCCTAGGCCGCTCTCCTCGCCTTGTAGGTGATGCTTGTAGGTGACGGTTCAGTCCAGACCCTGTATTACACTTGACTGCAGGCCTGTAATTAGCACTACTAGTGTAAGAGCACGAGTTTAAAAGTAAGCACATGGGCTGGCATTAACAGGATCAGGGCCTAAACAGAACAACTCTCCATGTGTGTGTGTTACTGGCATGTGCTCTGTGCCCTCTCTCAATGCCAATGTAATTATCTGCTTCCTTTACTGTTGTCTTTCAGCTGAAATAACAAGGCTGAAAAATCCTCAGTGTGTATGGGAATGCTGAAAGCTACAGTCAGTCGTTAATAATTTAGAGAGGTAATTTACCTCCAATTGATTTGTACCCTTAAAATATTGTATGTTTTTCACCACAGCTTTAAAATTTCTGTCTTTTGTTCTTCTCTTATGTCTGTGAATCGGGAAGGTGGAAAAGATGGCCAGCCTCCACAACATACATGTGCGCACAGGTTGCTTCTGTAACACAGGAGCCTGCCAGATGCATTTGGGTATAAGCGATGAGGACATCCAAAGGAACCTGCAGGTTAGTTTCTGAATGAGATTATGTGATACACTGACCATGGAAAATACCTAGATTCCGTGACCCGGAAAACATCTTCTGGCTATCAATTCTGGATTTCCTGGGGGATGGGAGGTTTGAAGGGGAGAGAAGAAAATCTGATCCTACCTATATCCAACAACAAAAACAAAAGCTAAATAGTAAAGAATAAAATAGGTGTTTCGTAAATGAAGGTGGGTTTAATTTGCTTTCCCTGATTTTTCAACTTAATTACCATGGTAAAGAAATAATTGAATCAATACGTTGAAATTAGGTCTTGAAACAAATTTGATGGACCCAAAGCAGAGTAGGTTGGTTTTATTTCATTGGAAAATATGAAAATGTGGCTTCTTGGTCTGATTTGGAATTACATGAAATCCAGCCTTCCTGCAGAATGGAAGTTCCCAGACAATTTGTCTCATGTTGTTCCTCAAGTATCTTTAATAGTACTTATTAATTATTACTTTGGGACATTACAGTTTAAAAGACATACACAAACTGGACAAGAAACAATAAATGAGAATACCCAGTGAATCTCTGACAGTGAAATAAATTTAGATGACTTCTACTTAGATTATTGGTGTGTTAGACTGGTAGAACGTGAACGTAAAGACTGCTTTCTAGATGACTAATATTTTCCATAAATCATTATTAAAAGATCTATAGAAGGATGTATTACAGTGAAGTGCGGGAGGCTTCACATCTGTGTATTTGTCAGATTTTGAAATTACAGTATATTAATACAGAACTATTCAAAACTTTATTAATGGTATTCCTCAAAAGAGAAAAAATATATATAATGGAAGTATGGGTATTATAGGTCCCTTATCATTTCACAGAGGCATTTAGATAACATTTGCAAGCACATTTATATGCAAGACTGATAGCACAAGATCTTAAACAGGGAGAGCTCTTTAGTACCTTCCATGGCAAAATGGTGGTTTCATTTACTATTGAAAGCTCCATGTCCATAGTTTACTCATGAATAGTCTGTTTAAGAGCAGGTGAGTGATGCTTGAATTTTCAAGAGGGTGCAGGTTCCCCAGGATAATTAGAGAAAGGAGAAAAGCTCTTCCCTTCTCTTAAAGCGCAAAATACCAAATGGCCAGGTACACTAATCTTGTTTCTTCTTACCAGAGGAAGATTTTGATAAGCCTCATATGGGTCTGTATCATGTTAATAAAGCTCGACATTTCAGCCAGGATGGGCTAAACACAAAAGCCAAAATTACAGTCATTTCATCTGCCATAAGTGGTATGATGAAGTAGTACAGTCAACCAGTTACTATTTTGAGACATTCTTGCCAGTCCTTTGGAAAGATTTGGATGAGTTATTGACAACATTACTTTGTAGGGGGAAGACATCTTTTTTCATATTACTGGCATATGTACTTTGTTTTTGCCTTTTCCCAGTGTGCTGACTGTGTTCTTCCTCCCCTGATGAAGATTTCCATGTTCAAAGTGCTTGTGAGGGAGGACCTTCTATCGTCAAGGGTCCCTGGAGAATTGTGGTTAGTTTTCTTAGGATGTTAGGTAGGAACTCATTTACTTATTTGCACAGCAGGAACCTCTCTCATCAGTCAATCAATCAATACTTGGCAGAAGTGTTCCACATATATTAACAGATGCAACCTAATTTTGTAAATGTTGCTTCTGCTCTATTGTCACGAATAAAAGCTATGTTCCAGTACATTACAATATTTGCTACTGCATTGCATGCTTTGACATAGTTTTTTTTTTTATTTCTCCTGGAAAAAGTGGGACCCGTGTTCACTGAACTGTGACATTTCTTGCTTTAAAAAGCCCTCATGTAAATAATCTATTCACACTTCCATTTTTATTTAACAGAAATGCATAAATAAATGAATTTCAGAAGGAAAAAAAAAAACAGCTGCTGCATTTAAAGGAATAAGGGTGCTGACTTAGAACTAAATCTCGTGTCCATTGGTGAGCTAATGTTAGGTAGGTGATCAAAGGGAGTTTCTGGCTTATCTCTCTGGAAGTGAGTGGCAGCACTCACTGACCTACTCAACTGAAGGAGAAACTTCTGCTCCACTCCACCTCCAGGGAGTTTTCTGGGGAGTGCTGTATGAAAGATACATCAAATATAAGGTTATTGGAGGTCAATATTAGGATATTTGAGGGACAATTTTTTCAACAAAGGTTTATCATGAGCTGAAACCTGTGTTTTTCAAATGAAGCAATGTTAGGGGGAAGGCTACTTCCATCTGTCCTGAAAGCAACATGTTGACTGGATCAGCAAGACAAATTTACTGGATATCACAATGATGAGGGAACTCACTTTGGATGTTCCAGTTTTATATTCAAGTCTCTGCTTTGCTAAATGTCCCAGACTAGTTCTTAGTAGTGTATCTGTCCACTTGGTTTTAAGACAAACCATGAGTAAGCGATTGATTGTATAAAACAGAACTGTTCTGACAGCAAATATCAAGAAGTCTAGTGGTTTGTTCACCTATCTAAATGTAATGTCCCAGTTTAAATCTCACTGAACTAATGAAGTTGAGACTGGAATATATCTGGAGACTGCCCTTGCTAACAGGACATTCCGGCATGTGCAAACTTCTTCTGATTCTTAACATAAGTTTTTGAAAAGTCTCTCTTGCCTAAAGGTAGAATAAGGCAAGCATCTCAAAACAATCTTCTTCCCAGCTTGAGAAGGTAATAAGACAATTGGGATTTTTTTTTTCTCTATTCTCTCTTTGTATTCATGGGTTAACTGTGTATTTCTGAAAACAGTTTTTTGGTTAGAATTAACAGACTAGTGAATAACTATGTAAAGTAAGAAGGTCTGTCATAGTAGCTCTGTTTGTCTTCCTATTTCAAACTAGGCTGGCCATGTCTGTGGAGATGATATAGACATAATTGATGGACGTCCCACTGGTTCTGTGAGAATATCCTTTGGCTATATGTCTTCCTTTGAAGATGCACAGACTTTCTTGAAATTCATCGTAGCCACCAGGTTCTCCAATTCGGACACTGAGATTCCCTTCCAGTCCTCTGTTACAAAGCTGACGACAGAGCCTGTCCCAGATGATGGCACTTACTTTAAGAATGCAGATAAATTGTCTCCAAGAACGCACATCTCGGACAGAGAACTTGGGAATAATTCATCTGTGACAGTGAAGACTGTTGGCTGGCAGCCAGCGGAGTCTGAGTCGGAAAGCATAAGGGCAACTATTTCTGAGACTGCAGTGCCAACATGCAGAGGAGATGGCAACCCCATTACTGTCACCAACATTTTCCTTTACCCAATCAAATCCTGCTCTGCATTTGAGGTATATGTTTTAATATATTTTTAAATATTCATACCACAGAATCACAGAATCACAGAATTTCTAGGTTGGAAGAGACCTCAAGATAATCGAGTCCAACCTCTAACCTAACACTAACAGTCCCCACTAAACCATATCCCTAAGCTCTACATCTAAACGTCTTTTGAAGACTTCCAGGGATGGTGACTTCACCACCTCCCTGGGCAGCCCGTTCCAGTGCCTAACAACCCTTTCAGTAAAGAAGCTCTTCCTAACATCTAACCTAAACCAACCTTGTGGTTTTTTTCATTGCCCCTGTTGAACATGTCAACCAGGAATAATATGTATATGAGATACTAGGAAATAGTATATGGATAACCATTTTTTCGTTTTCTCCAATTCCTAGGATCAAGTCTTACATGATAAGGCACTTTCAAAGTTTTTCAATTAGACTGAAGTTACAGGAATGAGATGCATCTTCAGCTCTCCCCGCCCCCCCCCCCCCAACAGACAAATCTGCACATAATATGCAGTCTTAGAAAAAAAAAAGAAAAAAAAAACAGTTGGATTTGCAAAACTTGACTAAAATATAATCAAGTAATTAGTATGCTTTCACAGAATGACATGTGATGGACTTGAAGGCATTGATGGGTAGGCAGCAATTGAGAAATAACTTGATTAACATGTTATAATTGAGAGGAGGCTGATTTACATTACAAAGAAATGTTATCATTAAAAATACATTTGCAACAGAAATATGACATTTAAGTGTTGCTGCGCTATTTGAAAGTTCACTCTTTGAAGATTTTAATTGCTTTTTTGCCAAGTTAATAATATCGTCACCTTAGCTGTGACTTTTTTTTTTTTAATAATGCATGATGAAATAGGTGTATGGCCCACACATGACCTAGAATGTGACTCTGCTTAGTACCATACTGGGAAGTGATTTAATGAATGTCAATAACAGTATAACTTTCCCTATGAAAACTTGCTGGTCTAGGTCACTGTCTCACATCTGAATGAAAATTGGGGTCAAATCCAGTGACAAATCACCTGCATTTAAAATATTGCTTCTCAGGTGATTTGGTTGTGATTTTTTTTTTTTTCTTAATGCAAAAAGAATCTGGGGAATTGAAGCAAAGGGTATTATGGCATGTTCAACAAAACAACTACATTTTAAAACTTGGTTTTGCTCATAATGTTTCTAATTCAGAGGCACAATCTCAAGCATTACATGAGATCTGAACAATTTTCCACCCCTTACTAACCTCCCACTAAATCAAACTGTTTAGAAAATCAAAGTAATCCCACATTTCTTGTGAGAATATTTTAACCTCTGTTTAAGTGTTGCAGGTATTATAGTTTTATTACAGAAGCTCTCTACAGAAGCTGCTGAAATATGTTCTAGCAGTATTCAGGTCCCTTTGGGGTTAAATTCTATTTTAACATGCAGGCCAATGTTACGAGATACACACCACAACATTCAGTGCTAGGAAGGCTTTGAAATGATTGTACCCAGGAGCAGGTAAGACATACCTCAGCATGAAAGACAGCTTATGTTTTCCCACAAACTAAGCTAGTTTTCCTCTCTTCAAGCTCTGTGAGGAAACTACCCTAGTTGATAAATGCATATAAATCTGGCACTCCCTGGCAGACAGAACTGGAGTTTTATATGGAGGGGGAAATCCCCGTTCTTCATGCATACTTCTTGTCCCAGTTAGTGGACCCACAGTGAAAGTAGAGTTCGTCTTACTTGATCTTACCCCTCTGAAGGTAATTATTCTTTAAGCAGTGAGAGGTAGATACCTCCTAATTCATCTTATCATAAGATAGGCATCTGTAGTAGGAAAATGAATTGTTGCTGGATATTTCTGTCTCTTTCCATTTACTACAGGAGGAATAGGTTGGATAAAACAGAAGGAATGGGCTCTCATGGTCTTCAGTTAGAAGCCAAGAATTAGAATTCAGTATAATGGCTTTAATACAAAATACCTTTTAAATGCTTTGTACTTGTTGGAAAGATAGGAAAAATATTTTCCTTATTAAAATTTTATCTCCATTTTTATCAGATAGAAGGTAGCTCTAAGCTAGTTGATGTGAAACATTGAAAGTGGCTGCAGTAAATTCACTCATCCTGTACTTGGATTCTTGAGATCAGAATCTCATAGATTTCTGAGTTCAAGTGCAGGCCTCCAGCTCATATGGTAGGTCAGACCTTATGCGTGTGTAGCAAATGGGCTTTATTGGGAAGTAGATGATCACTTGCATTTGCCTAAAATAAAATGTGGAGTGGAAGACTCCACCTAATTGTGTGTGCAGGACTTCGTCCATCTGCCAGAGAAGTCTACCCATTGACTTGGTGGCTGCAGGGCAGATGACTTGATTAGTGGCAGGAGGACAGTCTTGATGAGAACATGAGTACAAGCTCACAGCTGTTTGATCTCCACTTTAGAGTCAAATAATCTCCTCTTTACCTAAACTCTGACTTCTCTAGTCTATTCTAAGTGTTTTAGGGCAGGAGGTACTTGACTTCCCAAGAAAATGAGAGTGATGAGCATGCTTTGGCAGGTGGGATTATGAAGCATTAAGGTCTTCAGCTTACTGCAGGTTGGTTAGCTCCTGCAGCACGTATGTTTCATCAAGTGCTCCTGGCCACAGGACTGTCTGTTCAGTGATGTTACATGGATTCCCTACATATGGCTCAGGAAGTAGAGGGCAGAATATTCTAGCTGAATGTCTTAAATGTGCTTAAATTGTCCCTACAATTATTTTATTAAACAGGGAGAAGCAGAAAAGAGGAGTAGCCTGTGTCCCTGACCACATTTTTCTTCTTTTCCAGCATAAAAACATGTTTTAAACATGCATTTTTAAACATGAACATCTCTTATGTCAATGAATTTTGCATAATTACTTAGTGCAGTGTGCCCAGTGAAAGAGGTTAGGACTTTAAACATTAATAACTTTATTATTCTTGCAGTAGATTTCAGAGGATAAAAATTGCAGCTCAACACAGAAGACAAATTAGCTTTTAATTCAAAATACAATGCAAATTCTTAGTGATCAGTAGTTAAATTATGTGTAAGACCACTAACATTTTTAAACTTGCATAATTTAAAAGCTGTTCAGTGATTGCTTTAATGTGTTTGAAAATTGTGTTAGCCTACATGATGACATTACAGCAAATTAAGGAAAAATACAGCCCAAAGTATTTCAAAGAAAAATCTTAAAAAGAAAAAAAAAACAAAATGTTTTTGCAATGGGTGTTCTTACATTAAAAGAAGAAAAAATGCTAAAGAAGGTAGAACACCGTGTACTGGTTGTGCTCGGTGCAGTGGTCCTTGCTGGTGACAGGTAGGGAAGACCTTATGTTGGATGATTAGCCTACCCGCCCTGCTGGCCTGCTGGGAAAGAAGGTGTATGTTAGCATCTATCAGTAAAATCATGGTGTCCCTGCTTTCTGTCTTTCTGTCTAACTCGTCTCAAGTAGAGATGGTCAGACAACCTTAAGGAATCAGTGCAATACAGTATTGCTCACTGTGATGGAAGCTACCCTGTTTTATTTTACTTTGCAGTAAGCTTCACTGGCTGCTTTGCTTCACTATTTTAGTTGCCTGAATGTAGATATTTAGTGCTGTTTGAGTGCCCTGCCTTACCGCCTGCTGCTGGTCCACCAGGATGCAGATCTTCTTTGCAGCCTGTGTCATATCTGCTGGCCCGGGGCAGACATCTCAGATGTAATCCAAGGGAGCCAAATCGAATCACTCTTCTCATGTCTCAGATGAAAGCAGAGCAGGCAGGCTCTGAACTGCTCTAAGTTGCTTGCAGTCCTTGAACAATCCCTTCAGCCTCTTTCAAACACCGGTGGGAGAGGGTCCGCACAGGTCGCCAGCTTAAATGCTAATGAGAATAGAAATTTTTATTTTCTTCTGCACTTACCTCCAGTATTAGCAGCAAAACAGCTCTGATTATTTCATGATCAACTGTGACTCTCTGTCCAAAGCAGGGTACACAGTTATTTGGTTGTTGCAACTTTATTTATTGGAGCAAACGTGCAGTGCAGTAAGTTGAAATGTGGGGAGAAAGTAGGGCACTAGACTGTGTACTAGGGATATCCATGAGAGAAAAGGAACTTACTGCTGGGCACATTTAGGTATTATTCTTTTTACAACAGTAGACAGAGGAAGGGGGAAAATGGACTCAACTCCTATAGTTGTGTGCTGAATCTCAGAGGGGAGCTTGGAGTTACTTGCCAGTATTTTGGACCTACCAGAGGTATTTTAAATGGAAGGTGCTGATTATTTCCAAATTAGCTGAGCTTTCCCCATCGTGCCTATGAACATGTAAGAATTATCCAAAGCTCTGATTAAAGAAGAAAGTTTTGTTTTGCTCATAAAAACTGTAGTCTTCAGTGAAGGGTAAGCACACACCTAACCTGTCTCCTGAATAAAACTGCTATCCTACAGTGGAAGCAAAGCAATTGAATGTTGTTATTGGGAGCCAGAAATCACTGTATTTAGGCTCTTTCTGTGTTTTTCCGATCTTTTTGTTTATTCTGTTTGTTGTGTCTTGCAAATCCTGTAATGATCTGTTGGATCCATGGGAGGACATATTACTGATCAGTGATCTTCTGTTTTGGAAAGGAGATTTGTTACCAGGAAATTCTTGCAGCTCTTAGATGATCACCAGCTGTTCAAAATGCATATTGAAATCTAATTATACAGGATAACCAAACAACAGTGGCATCTCTGAAGGATAATTTCCAGCAAGGACAAAAGTCTGCACTCCAGCTGATATTGCAGTCTTTGGCCTATGAGTATTCTCCTAAAAGACAGAGCAGAGGTTCACATCCTTTATGTGCTAATGGTTTGAGGAGCTTGGACAACACGTTCTCAGATGACACTATCAGACCTAAGGATTCCAATTTTGACTGACATTTTTTTTCCACACTCACTTCGAAAACGACCAAAAAGTACTATAAAATAAGTAGGTAGATAAAATACATATCTACTCTACTTTTTTTCCATTATTTTCTGTTTGTTATATAGTTGATAGCTCACATAGTTGATAGTGGCCAAAATATTTAGAGGGACTAGTTCAGCTGTAATGCTTTCAGTGTCCACTTTCAGGACATTTTGAGTGCCTGCCCTCAGCTTCCTCTAGTCGGGCCCTAGGTGTCAATCTGTTGCTGAGGGATCTTCCAAAGCCTGGAAAAGTTTATAAGAATGGGATTTTGTGGGTTCTGTGGGGTTTTGGACAGAGCTAAACAAAATTGTGATTTTTAATTAATCCAATCACTGTTTCAAGCCATGCTTTCTTCAGAGTATCAGGCTGTGCCTGACATACCTTTCTCTCAACACCTTTTGCTAAAGCTTTTTGCCAGTTAATTCATGTGAGCTGTGCTAAGCTTCTCTAGAAGAATTCAACAAAGTTCACCTGTGGTGAACTTTTCTCCATATTCAGCTACAATTGGAAAACATATGTGAGTTGAAACAGTGTGTTTAAATGCCCAGCTTTATGTTAAAATAATGGTATTAATATTTTAATGTTCTGAAGGAGAAAGCAGTTATTAATATCACCCAAAGGCATTACTAAAATTGTTCCCTTTTTTGATTTCAAAATTACCATCTGTGTAGCATCAGTAACATCTGTTCTTTTCACCAGAAAAATGCCCATGAAGGCAAGGACAATATGCCTGTATAGGCTATTGGAAATAAAGAGCATTATAGAAGCAGTGGAAGGACAGATAGCAAAGACAACCACGTGTTTTGTTGCAAGGGGATTTGGAAAAACTGTTATGCACTTGCTAAACGAGAAATCTCAGCAGTGGATGTTTTCTCAGATAGATTCATTGATAAAGAGGTTTTAGTTTTATGAAAAATGTGGAAGTTTATTCAGAATTCTGAATTTCACATTTTCCTTGCTTTCTGTTTGTTTGGTTTTGCCCTAATTCATAAAACTCACATGCAAGCTTCATGTTTTGTGAATTAAATGAAAATTGTTAAGGGGAGTGGTCCTAAAAATGGCTGAGTATAAAACAGAAAACAACTTTCAGAGTGTTTCAGTAATTGTTTGCTGTATTCTCATGGCTCTGTTAAACCAAAGTGTATGATAATATGCAACAAATTATAGTAACTCAATTCTATTCTGTCAGTTGCTTCCAGTGAGATCTTTATCTTTGACTTTCAATTAAGGTTTCTGTTATAACAGCTGACAGTGGCTTCCACAAGCTTTCCTGATTTCAAGGAAATTCATTAGTGGTTTCTCTTCCCTCTCTTTTCCTTTCAGCATGAATGCATCATGCAGCCAACATTTTCTAAACCTTTGCATCCCCTCCTGCTGCTTTTCCAGGTTACAGAATGGCCGGTAGGAAACCAGGGCTTGCTGTATGACCGTAACTGGATGGTTGTAAATCAGAATGGAGTTTGCTTGACTCAGAAACAGGAGCCAAGGCTATGTCTTGTAAATCCCTCAATTGATCTGAAGCAAAAGATTATGGTCATTCAGGCAGAAGGTAAGTAAACAACATCCTTTTTCCCCCTTCGTTACTGGTGTCAAACTTACACACAGAGACTACCTATACGCAGGAACCAAAGTACTGAATGCTGTATATGCGTGCTCACTCAAGGGACAAATTCTGCTACCAAATGTAGGCAAAAAGAAAGCCGAGGCTGTAATAGCCCTGGGTAGTTTCTAGTGTTTTGTTGGGACAAGCAGAAAGTAGATAGCGACTCCATATGTGCTCCATAAAGTGGATACTCCAGAAAGGAACTGTGAATTGATAAAAGTGGAAATTTACTGACTAATCTGTCCCTCCACATCATAAAAGGGAGTCCGTCAGCCTGAAGGGACTGTTACTGCTGTGAAAATGAAGGAATAGGAGTCTAACATCAAACACCCTGGCCAAAGACCTTCCCATTTTATAGCTGTCCCCCTTCCAGCAGCTGTGTGACTAGAGGGGTAGAGTCTTCAGTGGGAATTAATATGAATTAAGATAAGGACCAAACTTTATTTATTTAGCTCAGTTAAATACTTGCACAAGGAAGAAAAAAAGCACGATGCTTGGGCTTCTTTGGATTCATCAAAACACTTTTTAGTCTCTGCTGAGGGGAGAAAAAAAAAAGAGAGAGAAAACCGTATGGAAAGCATTATGGAAAGCCCTTTGCTACTTGGGGGTAGGAATTATTTATTTTCCTAACAGTGCTGTTAGCACTAAACGGTGGAATAGGTTTGTATTCCACAAAAGTCATTACTAATGCCAAGTTTGCATGTGGCTGAATGGCATTTATCACTTCCCTGCGGTCTAACATTTACTCACCCTGTATGTCTTAACCGTCAATAATACATGTGCTCACATTTTCCACAGCTAGAGCAAAACAAGGGAAGTTATATTCCAATTTTTCACCCCTAATTAGAACTCCATATGGGTGCTTCTGTAACTACAGCTGCTTTTCTGTTTATACAGTACAGTTGTTGTCCCCTTCAACTGTCTGAATACCCACTATAAAATCAAGTCTGACCAGTTGATTTCTTTTGTCTGTCAGGTTGGCCAAATGTACATTTGGGTACTTCCACTAGTCTTTTGAATACTTTGTGCATGTTTCAAATCCCAAGCACAATCTTGTCTACTCCTAGGAATTCCAGTCTGGGTCACTGTCCCAAAGCCTGCTATTTTCTGCTCTTCCCTCTATATTATTTTTTGAAAAGGTATTGTCAATTCATTTCAATTTGATGTGGAGCACATTGCACATTTGTGTAGTACAGTTGCATATGCAACCTTCTCTGACAACTTGTAAATTACCAACTGTTTCAGAAATAATAATTTCTAGAAATTCGCTTCCTTTCCATCTCACTTTTTTTTCTGCCAGTACCTCCTGCTTGTCGATACAATGTGGAGTCTTGTCCAAACCTTCTCTATTTATCCTTCACATTTTCAGAAGTTCAGCTCTGCTGGACCTTTAGATTTTTTCATTCCACTCTTGATTTTTTTGGGGGGGTTTTGTTTTGTTTTCTTTTTTCCTTACTAGCATCACATTCTGTAAACAAACACATTATCTCTAGACAAACATGGGTTGGACCTGGTGCTTAGGGACGTGGTTTAGTGGATGACATTGGTAGTAGGGTGATGGTTGGACCGGATGGTCATGGAGTTCCCTTCCTACCTTAATGATTCTGTGATCTATTGGTATATTTTATTCTGTGTATGATGACTCCAGATAACTGTAAGCCTAGCACATACGGTGGTCTGGGCCCTCTTTTTAGAGTAGTTCTGCTATTTTTTACTCCAGTAGTGTACTTACAACCTCTAGTTTTTTGTTGTTGTTTTATTTTGTTTTGTTTTTAAGCTTAGTAGTGAGATAATGTCTCTCATTTACTTGGAGAGACTATTCCAGAGGTTACTGCTCATAAGGTAGCACAGTGATGGGCACACATGAAAAGGCAGGGTAATACCGAGCAGATACATCTGTAGAAAGTTGTTGCAATATTGATTCTGTTCTCTTTCCACTCTCCTGCAGTCTAAACTCATGACTTGTTTGTATATATATCAAATTTTTATTATTTTCTTTTATCCCTTCAGATACAGGGGTCATTGCTATATCTCCCACTCAAATCATTTCATGCTAGGCATTGCATCGCAGATGCTCCTGGGCAACCTGCTCTGGGTGTCCCTGCTCGAGCAGGGGGTTGGACCAGATGACCTCCAGAGGTCCCTGCCAACCTCAGCCAGTCCGCGATGCTGTGACATTTAATTTAATTAGTTGACTCCTTCCTTGAAAGTCTCATGTTAATCACTGCTGGCTGTTCACAAGTCTCCCCAGCCTGTCGGTAGTGTGTTGCTGATGGAGCACGAGAGGCCGAATGCTGAGCACGTAGCTGGAGCAGCGATGGTTGGGGTGAGGAGCAGGAGCCCCCCTTTGAGCCAGGATGGCTGTACTGTGTCTCAGAGAGCCTTCCCTGGCTAAAAGTACCTCAGATTTGTAGCACTTAGCCTGCTGACTACAGCCACCTCCAGGTCTCTTCCAGCTTTATTGCTTTGTGAGTTTCTCCCAGGGGATTGCTACCACCCCGACCTGCCTTTCCTCAGCTGTAGCAGTATGCATCTTTCCAAGAGGAGCTTTGATTCCTCCAGCTCCTCCTCTTCTCCCCCTGCCTGCACAGTCCCTATGCAGGGTTTCCTTTTTTTTAATTTTTTTAATTTTCACGTATGTGACTCCACTGCGGTTGTAACCGTGCGTAGATGTTATTGTCCTTGTCTTCATTACATACTTCATTGCATTAATGAGGCAAAAGGTTACGAAGGTGTTGGTATGTAGAAAACACTCGGATCCCTAATTCTAATTTCTCTGCCATTTCCTTTCTTTCAGTCCCGTTTCTCTGACCAAACAGAGCCACATTTTTACTATTTCCAGCCTGCTGGGGGGGCACCAGGGTGAGGGCATGGTGATGGGGACACTTCTGGCGGTGAGGAGGTGGTGAAGAAAAAAAAAGGGAGGCAGAAACTTCGAGCTGCACCTTCACTGCACCTCTTGCTCTGCTGAATGTGAAAACCCATCTGCTTCCAGCTGACCAGGTGGCAGCTACAGCCAAGTTACCTGCCTTCTTTCTGCTCTGAGACTTAAACTACTCTGCTTTCCCTACCAGTTTCTCTGCTATCATCTGTGCTTTTGTCATTGCGAGAGCAAACTGTGGTGATGATCTCCTTCTAAGGCGTGTTTTGCTATCTGGAGGTGTCTCTCCAACAGAGAGAGCCTAAGGCAACTGTGCTCCTGGATTAGGTTCCTCTGGTAAGTGCCCAAAGCCAACTCACCCTAGCTGAAGTATGTACCCTTCTGAAGAACACCTTGCTGTTATTACTGTTAGATTATGGCAAAGAATTCCTCTGTTCGGCTTCTAAAACACAATGAATCTGTCCCCCTCCAGGCATGCGCATTCCTCTCCCTCTAGAAATTTTCGTTAGTGGAAAAATTTGTTTATAGCTATTTTATTTCAATATGGTTTAATATTCCCTGTCCTCTCTGTCCAACAAAATAAATGTGTCGGTGTGATTTAGTGCGACAGTAACTGCTTTAATACCTTTTTGCTGAATCCTGCCCGTGCTGAGACACTACATCAGGTGCTTTCTTCAGCCCCTGTGTGTAGGGTATCTCTGCAGCCTGTCTAACAACCAGCCTTGGATGGATAGACTCACTGTCTGACAAACCTAGCGGCATGGTCCTGCTGTTGGGTAGCAAGGACAGTCGCACTGGGATTCTAGACAAGGCCAAAACTTTTCAAAGGCTTAGGTAAGGTCTGGCATGCCTGCAAAATTAATTGGCCTGCACCAGGCATTCACCTGGCACCTGACAAAGGGGATAAGTAACAGCAGAGGAAGAGGAAGGGCCTGTGTTTGTTTTGCCATTGGCTGTGCCTTACTTTGGTAGAGGGAAGGAGTTTTTAATTTTGAGAAACTGCATTTCTGGATTTTGACAATTATTTTCATAGGCTATGTAGTTAGCAGGCATTTCCTATTCTTTTTGACGCAAAGAATACACCAAATCCTGGCCAGCACAGGACCCACTTCAAGAAAACTGGTATCATTTTAAATAAACTCCCATGCAGAAAAATAACTTCTTTTATCTTGACAGCTTGCCTCCACTGAAGTAGTTAATAGTTAAACTCACAGGAGCTTAGAGAAAGAGTCTTTATTTCAAAAAGATGTATTGCTTGAATGAGAATCAAGGAAAATCTTGTTGTCCTGCTCCATCAAATATGTGGGGACATAGATAGCACTGCACTAGTTCCTGAACCACACAAAAGTAAGCCAAATAGAATTTGCATGAGAATACATTTCTGTACAAGACTAATTTCTCTTTTTACATTTTAGCTAACACTCAGCATTATTCTGGCAAGTTGTGACTTAGTTTGCCACTGCAGAGTGAGAAATTTTAAGTGTTGTGAAGGCCCTTTAAAATATTGGAGTAGAAAGATGCTTGCAAAACTGAGCAACTAATTACACTTTATGGAGTTTATTCTGCCTTCAAATGGTCATGTGTTACTGCCAATAAAAATAATGGGAATTATGTGCATACACTGATGAAAGAATGTACATGAATAGTTTATATTTCAGTCTATTGAAATGACAGACCTCTAATTTTTCTCTTTGACTGAAAATAGGAGCTATAAAGACAGGAATAATTTTATATATATATTAATACTGCGAGCACATCTGTGAATTTTATTATCAAGCAAATGACCATGGAGAATGCCAGCTCTTACATTTTAGTAACTGGCAACATTCTGCTTTATTTTTTTGCCTTAAGATAGAATAAAATTGTAATTAACAATGTTTAACTGACCTAAACATCACTGTAAAATGTATATTGTTCAATAAAAATGTGATACACTTGCTGGTGTATGAAAGCAGGGCTTTTTAAAGCCTCGAGACTATTTAAAGGAATTTTGTGCATATGCCTTGTTTAGAAATTATTTTTTACAAAAAAAAAGTGACAGCTAAGGGCACATATAGTACAAAAACTTTCAAAATTTGCTCTTCCAGAAGGAATGATGCTAATGTTCAAATGCTTCAAAGTACAAGAGCATTTGTTCTGGTCTGTAAGATGACAAAATTGGCTTCTTTTTTCAGGTTGTTGCAAGCACCTTCAATGCATTTATTACTTGTATGTTTTACTTTTGCTAAATTAACCCAACTTTTCCTCTGTTTTCGCTTCTGAAGTATACTAACATCACCGGCTAAATAAAGAATGGAAGCCTTTCTGTAGTGAAAACTTGCATGGACCAGAGCTGGTAGTGGGCTATCGCAACTCTGAATTACCTTTCATTCCTTTTCCAACAATAAAAAAATTATTTGATTTTACCATACCACAGAGCTAGTAGAGTTTAGTTCTTGTTTGTAGGACAAGCAAGAAGCAGGAAATAATGAATGAAATAAATATGTGCTGATATAAAACTGGAGTAGGGGAGATCAGAGTCTTTGTTGGTTTATGTTGCAGTATAATGAAAGAGTTGTATTCATTGCAGCCACACAACCACACTTTGTTCATCATTTAAGATTATTGCTTTCAATTAACAAAAAGCAATACTGTCCAGCTTTTATTTTTCCTTCTAATAAACCACGGCAGGCTTTCCATCCCTTTGGCTCATTCTCTTAAAGATATGAAAATCATGGAAGAAACTAATAACATAGATCATTGTCAGCGATTCATCATCTGGTTTAAACTTAGAGATAGATACATGAAAACAAAATAGTTCCTCTATTTGTGGTTTCTATACATTTTATATTTACTTAAATTATTATAATTTTATGACACATTATATTTCTTTTCGTGAACAGTCTGTGTGAAATTTTTCTCTTCCATGCCCTCGTCTTTCTGTTCAGTCCATCCCACCACTCCAAAAGGAAAACACAACAGTAATTATCTCATCTCCCAGTTTGCTAGAAGGAGCACAACAGCAATAAACTCATCCTTTTAGCAGAAATCATGGTTGAGGCAGTAGTTCTGTGCCAGTTCCATTGCCTGAGATACACGGAGAATTAATTCACTCAAAGCTGAAATTGTACATGTATATTCCTCAATGTGGCTTGGTTACCAAGGTCATCTGCAGCCTTTGCTTTTTGCATTGTCATTTGGAGCCACCTGCAGGCAGAGAATATAATTCTAGCAAAGAGGAAGGGGATTTTTGTCACACAATGTTTGGGTGGCGGCTGTGATTATGAACAAGTGCAAAAAATAGGCATTTTAATCATAATTCTGTGATTCTGCATAAATGTTGATTTTTAACTTTGTTTGCTGTCTGACCGTCTAGGCATGGACACAATATCTGTATCGCTAGAAGAAAATACTGGAAAAGAGGCTGTGATCTGTGAGAGTAAAGTCTGTTCGCACAGGTGAGTGAGAGCAGAGGGGAATCCGAGCTCAAGATCGCCGCAGTGACACTCAGGACATGATCAGATAGACACTCAGGAGCAAACTACTTTAAAACAAAGAGAGGGAGGGTGGAAATCAATAAATGTTCAATGATTTGAGGGGCCAGGAGAAGAGAGATTTAGGTAGGTAATTTGGCATGTGCAGCGTGTCTGATAAAAAACAACAAAATATTTATAAAAATAAAAAAGGGGGGTGAGAGGGGGCACTACAAGAGACTGTGATGACTTGACACTAACTAGAATAAGAGAGATCTTTGTTTTACTTGCTCCAAGGCTGCAAAAAGGGAAAGGTGTCCCCAGTTACTTCCAAATGCCAAGCAGAGGCTTTATCTAGACTCTAGAAATTCAGTTCATTCATTTGCTAGTAATGATGCTGTCAACTTTGCCCGTTTCACGCTGCACTGATTCACATTTGCTAGAACCCACTGAAGTTATAAACAGCTTTCTATATTTACAACCCTTTTTAATTTGTTTTGACCACCCATGTTGATCAGTGTCCCTTTAACAAGCTTGGGAAGATTGGAGGTGACTATGTGAAATAACATTAACTCTAAATCAAAAGACACAGCACTTCAGTGAAATATAACATTATGAATAAATTAATTTCATATCAGTGAACTTAAGTGTTTATCCATCATATTTTCTAAGTACTTCCCAGTCTTATTAATTTTTCTGAGTGGCAGTGTATCAAGTGCCTTCCTAAAGTACATTTGCATTATCTACTACATTTCTTTTCACCGGGTGCCACGGTAAGTCCAACTAAAAGAGACAGATTTATTTATTCTTTTAACCAATTCTTTGTAATGCTTTACATTTGCTTCTCTGAGGGTAATATGAACAAACCAGCAGAACTCCTGGCCATTTTCCCCATGGAGCCATGGAGGAAATGATCTTCTCCTTCTTTTCTACTGGCTATTCAGATGATAAAGGGGATCTTTTCCTCAGAAGTCTATTTTCCTCAGGTAGTGGAATTCACCCAAGAGTCATTTGTTTCAACCATCTGTCCCACTTCCCTCAGTGTTGACTCATCCTTAGCCTCCCCATGGTTAGCCCATCTATTACAGGCCCTGCTCTGAAATAGCCTAGGTTCTCTTTCTTTCCATGTGTATATAATTTGTTGCCAAATTTGGGGCCAAGAAATGAGAAATAGGAACAAAACAGTGCTTTGCAGTAGCACAGACAGGAGGTGATTTGTGGTCCAGAGTCTCTTCTCTAAAGTGTCTGAGGTGAGCAGAGGGCCCAAAACCTTATAGGCTTTTATTCAAAAGGAAGCGCTACTGAAGGTATTCTGCACATATTAATTCTGCCTCCGATTTCACCAGTTCTGATGGTGTAAGTGGTTACTCTGAATTTACGCTGAGGTAGCACATGACATAAAATCTACAGGCAGTCACGAGAGAGAGTTTAACTTGACAGCAGCCACAAAAGTTTAGCCAGGCCCCGTTTCCCTTGTGAGGCAGTTCAGCAGTGGTAGTATTCATCTCAGCAGGGGCTGTCCATCAGCAGGTGCTGCTCACCTTGGTGAGACAAGGCTTTCAGTATAACTTCTAACACTGGTCAGATGAAAGTAGAAGCTAGCATTAATATTATTGATGTTATAGAAAGCCCTAAATGCTCAGGGTTGGTGCTCTGCTGAAATACGCAGGGACACAGCCTGTTCTTTGACAAGCCACAATATCAAAGGGTCAAGGGAACAACATCAGTGGTAGAATAAGACAAAGGAATAGCTAAAAGCAAGGTGAACTGAACCTGTTGTGGGTGAATGTATGTATTACATCCTTTGGGATCAATATTCAGACTTCAGCTGTCCTTTTTTCTTCTGTAAATTATGTAGCTGGAGGGGCCAGCTGTAAGGCAACGAAGCTAAATGGCATTAATAGTGAGATGAGTGGGAAACTCAAGGTGGACAGCAAGTAAAATCTGAGAGGACTTTGTCCTCCCTTATAACTTGTCTGGCATGTGCCAAATAAAATGTAATATTGACAGATGTAAAGGAATACTTGCCAGAAATAAATACAAACAGAAAATGAACAGAACTGAGCTACAGGAGAAGGACTTTGAAGAAGACCTTGAAGAGACAACGGACCTTGCTCAGGAAATGGTCCAACAATAAGGGATGGCAATTTGAAAACCTAGGAGTCCTGAAATACAGAAACACACAGTGACATTTGATGAAATATTTCGAATGCTGTGCGTCTCCAACTCAGCCGCTGTGACTCAGAAGAGTAAACAAATAAAAAAGATGTCCAAATTTTCATCCTTACTTATACTGTATTAAGCCTTGGCAGACAGCTAGAGGCAGTTGGCTCAGCAGAAAATTGAAATATCCCTAGCACCTCTGTTAGTTTGGGGAAAACTATATAGGGAATTTGTTTTACCTGTACTGTCACCATGAAGGATTCATGCCTTCTCATCAGCTGCCTTCTCCCTAACACAGTGACCACCACGGACACAAGAAGTGCTCACCTCAGATTATGAAATCTGATGTGGAGATAAATGTTTTGACTCCTGTTTCGTGCCACAGTGCCTGCATCTCATAGTACCAGTGTTTCATTTCAGCTCTAGGACATCACTGACTAGAAGCAGCTTGGTGGGCATCCGTCCAGTCTCAAAGTGGGGAGAGGGATCCCAAGCTGCACCACAATCAAAAGTTAGAACAGCAGCTGAAGACTTATCCCTGTGGAATTATAAAATCTATTGATTTCTCTTTTTCTGGCTTTCTACCTGTAAAATGCAATTGAATGTTTTGTAAAGCCAAGCCACTTCCTCTCTTAATCCTAGGGTTTAGCATCTTTTACTACGAGGAACTTTTTTCTTGTATCACAGAGCAGAGGGTCACCGTACAAAGCAGCTTCTTTGTAGGAGTAGCAGAGGTGAGCACAGGACTGCTGCTACCTCACTTTCCTTACTACAAGAATCCTGCCTAGATCATCGTGAGAATTTGCATTCCTCTAACCTGTTTACGCCATTTAAAAGTTAGATATCAGTCAAATTTCCTTTTGTAGTCAATGAACCAGACAACTAACTAAAACCAGAAGCCCAGGTTTTATTATATTGAAGTTAAGTTTCATCTGGGTTGAGGATGCTAATGGCAAATAGGTCTGATCTATGTCCTTCCTGAAATGAGAGAAAGATGAAAATCCATCTAGTAGAGCTTAGATCCAGGTAAAAATGGCAAATCTATTGCCAGCCTTGCATAACTCACTAGACAAGTTACTACTAATGGGAACCATCTTTAGGTAGAGAAAAACTGCTGGTTGGGCTCTGCTAGTGGAGACTTGTTTTAATGTGAAGTGTCTGTATTAACGTTAACATGAATGAACATCGTTGTATCTGATGGGATCGTTAAAAATTACATACAGTGTCGCACAGTGGGACAATATTAAATTCAACTCAGATTAATCCTCTTTGTCTTAGTAAAAAGCACAGACCGGAAAGTAACTTTTTCATAATACCGCATTGTAATGTTGTAATACAGACTACCACTTACTGTACTTCAGAGTCAGTGTCTTAAACACTAAAGCTACATAATCCTTTATTCCACAATAATTGTATAATACTAAATTAGATCTCATGAATATTAACTTCAAGACTAACAGAGTAAAGTTGAGGAAATTGGGAAATAAAATTACGCAGAACTTCACATGTCTGTTTTATCACTCATCAGACAATACAGATTAACTATTTTTTATATGCAAAGAAGCAGAAGAAACATCTTTGTCATTTGTCTTCAGTTTTGCAAATTAATGTTTTGGCAATCAAATTTTGTTAAGTCCTTTTTTTTCTCATGATAGGGTAAAAACGTATGACTGTGGAGAAAAAACTGCTGGCTGGTTCTCTATGTTTCTTGGTCGTCCATGTCGCTTGATAAGACAATGTCCAGACAAGAAAAACAGCATGCAACATAAAAATACAAAAGGTTAGTTATCATTCCTAAAAAAAAAATGTGGTTCCTCAATTAGTAAATATGGAGTCACAATGAATTTAAAATTACCCTGATAAAGAGTGAAAGAGTCAAGCATTATTGACCTAGTAAGCTTCTAAGGGTTCATTTATACCCAAACTGCGCTTATGTGCTTTTTTAAGTTTGGTGAAAATGTACAAATACCTCAGTCTTTTTGTTTTATTTTTATCATAATTACAATGATTTTGTCTGAAAATTCAATGATAATTTTGAAAAATGGTCATGAAAAATCTATAAACAAATAATTTATTTTTATACTAAATTTCATTACAAAAGCAATCAAATTAAAGAACATTGAAAATCCATAGTTATTGCTGTTGTAAATTATTTTACAAAACTGTTAAAATCTCAGCTCTACCTTGTTTTCTGAATGCATTATATAATGATGATTTACAGTTCTGAGGAAATTCTTGGAGTCTTCCCTTAGTGTCTAAGACCAATGAAAAAAAAATTTAATGAGAAAGAATAAGAGGTCAAGGGAAAGATGAGGTGAAATTACTCGTATAATCTTCCTGATTTTTAACAATTATTTTATAATGTTGAATTGATCTTTCTTAGGTCCAACCTGTGCTACAAGCATCTCACTCTCTCTTGTGAATGAAGCACAATACCTCCTGATAAATGTAGCAAGCATTCTGCAGCTGAAAGAACATATTTCTGCAAGGTAAGGTCCTTCTGCCTTCAACAGCCATCTTGGATTCCAGCGTCTTGCCAGAAGATACCGATGTAATTGTTTATCTAGAAAATGAGAGAGACTTCCTGAAAACTTGGGTTAAATGCCTAAATATAACCTGCCTGCCAGTCATCTTTATGAGAACTTAAACAAAATTCTTGTCAATTGATCTGGTGGTAGGAGACTGTCAGGAATCAACCAATTTCTGTTTGTGGGAAGAACACAGATAATAAGTTTTCCTCGACATAATCTATTAGATGAAAATTGAAGGTCTTCATACTTACCGAAATATATTTTCCCCATGGAAGGGGTTCAGGTTAGAGCAAACACTCATAACAGAAATATTTTTAAACTATTTGCAGGACCATATTTATTTATTTATTTTTTTATTTTATTTTGCATTACTAGTACCAAAGTGGGAGATACAGGCAACACATGAAACATTTGATTGGCACAAAGTTCAAAGATAAGGAACCCAATACTAACTAAATTTTCATAACCTGATCATATTATTCTTTCTTGAACTGAGAACTGCCCTAAATTCCATAGAAAATCCTTCCACAGGGCCTCTATCATAGCTGTGCCCCCAACAACCCATGTGTTTTTTTCTGAGCTCACGCTCCCCTTTTCTTGTCTCACCAAACTATCCTGCCTCTGCTTGGAAACACCTTCTCTCCTTTAGGTCACCCACCAAATATGTTGCCCTGCAATGAAACTCCTTTTCAGAGTTATTCATATATACATGTACATATATATAGCTGTAGGAAGATGGGTATATAGCTTTGGGGTTTAAAACCACTGACTGCATTAAGCACCACTACAGATCAACTTGCATTGCCTGAGGGTTTTCTTTCTTTAGGAAGAAGCAGTTGGGCAATTTCAGCATGTGACAGCAGTATCCTGGGAAAAATGCCTGGCAAAAGTTTGAATCTTTCCATCTCTTTCTTTTTTTAACTACCTTTTCTCAGTGATAATTAATGCCTTCTTTTGAGGCTTGACTGTCTGGTTTACATCTCCTTGGCCAAACAATGATTGCAGGCATCCCTTACTCACAGTGGGTGTTTTCCATGGTGAGATCCAGTGAGAAGCCTGATATGGGATTTGAGTATAAAGAAAAAGTGAAGGGACCAGATGAAGCAGCAAGTGATGATGAAGGATGACAGGGAACTTTGAAATATACAACATCAGATGATACACTGTTTTTGCACTTAATATCTTCCAGTGTTCCTCCCAATACAACTTGGTTTGTAATTTCTTTGTTCTCAAAGAAAACTCCAGATGTGACTGGAGTTGCTCACTTCTCACTCTGCAGCACAACTTGGAGAACTACTCCTTATTTTGCCATGCAGTGCTTTCTCAGAGTGCTGAGAAAATTAATTCAGCCTTATACAATCATACAGGCATAGAATGGTTTGGGTTGGAAGGGACCTTAAGGTTCGTGTGGTTCCAACCCCCCTGCCACAGGCAGGGACACCTCCCACCAGACCAGGTTGCCCAAAGCCCCATCCAACCTGGCCTTGAACACCTCCAGGGATGGGGCATCCACAGCTTCTGTGGGCAACCTGTGCCAGTGCCCCACTACCCCCAGAGTAATGAATTTCTTCCTAATATCTAATCTAATATCTAATTTATTATATACTGCATCATTGTTCTGAACTGCTACTGAATCACAGTGTACAAACTTTCAAAATGTTGAACTATGCAATAAACATTGAAGAATCTGCATGTAGTGGTCTTTATTAAATGGCTTTCTTTTTTAGAAAGTATTAGTTATCTTCTTGGCATGTGCGTTTGGTTTTATTTAATGGAAAACTGCTAAGATTTATAGGACCCTTTCAATCTTCAGTTGAGTCTTAATAGTTTCTCTTTCTTAGCATCTTCTGTAGTTAGTAGAATTAATCTTCCCCTTTACATTTGGGTCTTGAGAGGTGATCTAAAACAGTAACAGCAATTTAATTAAAAATTAGAACGTAACATACTGATAGAGAACTACATGTGTAATGAGACACTCATCTCTGCTGTTGCCGTTACAGGCCACCCCCATGAAAATCCCCGTGGCCTGGCCTCATGCCCAAATGTTCTCAATACAAATACTCCCCTGAAGGTGAAAATAATCATTTTCAGGTTTGCCCGTTAAATATATGGAATGCTTTCTGCATTGCAGGGCCCACTGCTGTGGAAAATCCTAAGTACTCAAGCTAGCTTTGGCAAATGACATTGATTTTCACAACAGATCCTTGTTGAGATTTGCAGGATGAAGGTGCCTCTATCCAACTGATTGATGTTTTGAGGGAGGGGAAATAATGCGTATTTACTCCGATAAATGCTGCCAAGTAGTTACAAGCAGTTCTGAGGGCTGGGGATAGGTGTGGGAGAGCGGAGTTATTTTGGAGGTGAGTAGGAGTGTGGGCACTGCAGACTCGGAGGAGCAGCAGCAAGGGCTGAAAGTAGAAACTAAAAGTAGTTTTTAGCAGCTGGTTCAGGGCATTTTGAGCCCAGATCTTTGGTTACTGGGGCTTTTGATGCCCCCATTAATACCAGCTTAGGTAGCTGATGCCCACATGTCACGAAATGCATTCAAAGCTCCCTCTGCGCAGCGCCCAAACTCCTTTCAGCCAGGTCTCAACACAGTACACAACAAAGGCAGGAAGCAAAACAGTGGACCTGAATTCGTTCATCACTAACTGCTAGTTTCTTCCCTGCCACTTCCAGCATCAGCATAGTCTGCACTTTCCTTTGGCTCCTGTCTACTCCAATCGTGATAAGCATTGCCTCTGCCATGGATTGAGACATGCTTGTGGGATCCCTAGGGAAAACTTGGAGCCCTTCAGCTTCCCACCCCACTTTCTACCCCCAGGCTCCTGGGAGCCTTGTGAACAGCGAAAACTTGTTGGAGCCAGGGTTGTGTGGTTTGCCTGAAAGTTGATTTATCCTTATGCACATTTGTCTGCTAAAGAAGATCATCCAGACTATTTAAAATAAAATCAAGCCTTTTTTTCACCTAACAGACCTATTCTGCCAAGACTGTTTGATGTGAACAGTTTTCGCTGTGCTTTGATTTTACACGTTTTTCCATATTTTAATTAAAACACAGATTTTAAACTTTTTGTCCTTTGGAAGTTGTTCACGTCCATCATAGCTAATGCAAAATGAATTGTTCTGCCCCACTTCAGAGAACCTCTCTTACGGTTTTTAGGGCTGTCCTTTTTTATGGTACAGGTAGGATTCTCCTTTAGAAGGACAGCAATGATGACAATTCAGAGGTGCAGCCAGTTTTCTGATATTTGTATGCAGTCTGCTCTTCTGTCTCCCTCATGTATGTTCTCAGCACTGACACAAATCTACACCCTGGCAGTTCAAATGCTTGTAAAGAGGTGGAGATATCTCCACACAGAGATTAATTTTTTTCAAAACACCTGTCATTTGGTGCAATCTGTTGCAACCTAAAGGCAAATAATAATATAAGGAATACATTTCTCTCATAAAATGCCTTACTGGCCTTTTTCACCTTCAGCATCTGTAATTTTTGTCCCTTTTGCTACTGCAGAATATGCAGAATATGCTTGTATTTGCTTTCTTTTTAGAAGCATTTAACCAATCAAATTTAAACCAGCTTTGTCAAAAGATCTTTTTATTTGTTACCATTAACCTTGCATATAACTAATAAGGAATTTTTCTCATATGCATTATCTATAATTGCCACTCCGCATGCTTTCCTGCCTACTTTACAGTTCCAGGTTGCAGCCCTGAATAAGCCACCTAGATCATTACAAATTCTAGTCAAATACCTTGTGCCTTTTTTATAGCCTTTGCAATAAAAATTGGTCCAAATTATTATGGAGATTCATCTGTTTGATGAATCCTATTAGCCGCTAGCTTCTTACAGCACAAAAAACTAGTGCAGAACTAGTGCCGAACTCGTTAATAAAGACTATTCTTTCTTTTCTGTTGTGAACTCTGTGGTACAGATTGGAAGAGCCATTGGAAATGGAGGAATTAATCCGGCGTTTCCGTGCCAACATTGTCATCAGTGCACCAGAGTCCTTTGAAGAAGAAGAATGGGCTGAGATTTCAATAGGTGCTCTGCGATTCCAGGTATGAACTTATCTCCCTCGTCCTAGCCCTACAGGATCTTGTCCTCTAGCACAAAGCATTTTGAACTTGGAGACAGAGCAATTTTTGTAAGGCTTTGACTGGAATATGGGTGGCACAGTGTGTGCAGATGCAATTTATGAAGTGTGTAAAAAAAACCTGGTGTAACCTGTGACAAACATGCTGCAATATAAGTGAGAGGTTTTGACATATTTATCCACCCTTTTTGTTATTTCATAATTCATAAAATTTCCCACCTCCATCCAACTGAGGTGAAAAATAATCACTGTTTTGAGGCTGAGTTTGCAGCAAATATTGAGCCAGCTTGTAACAAGAGAATATGAGCAGCTTTTAAGTGTGATAGTCCAAATGCAGTCTCAGATTGCTGCACATTAAGAAAATGATTGCCAAAAGCCTGGACATGAATACCAGTGAATGATCACTGTCTCTTGCTCTCTGGTGTATGCATCCTAATCTCCATTCAGGACATGTTTCTTAGTCTAGCCTTAGGTAGGGCTGTTTCATACGTTATTCTTCATGTCATATCTAACAACATAATGTGCTTTGTACTGTAAGGAAAATGCTATCAAGTCAAACTTTGTTGGCAAAGAAATTCTTTTTAGAAGAAGTTCAACAAAAGTTCCATGAAGAAGCAACACAAGAAACCAAAGGAAAAGATGAATATATGCATTACGTGTTGTATTGGATTTGTCTGGTCCTTAGCTAGGAGATGTGTACTTTTAAATGCATTGTCTAGGATGTGAAAGGGGTTTATTCATCGTTTACTTAGGGATGACAGTGAAAGGTGTGAATATGAGAAGTGTTAATGTCAGATCTAGAAGCCATGATAGAAATCACTCCTAATTGTTTCTGGTCAGCATATCCTAAGAAATGGAAAGGCCGTGTTTTCAGTAAGGGTAGAAATTATGACCCATCCTCTCTCTTCTTACACATACTTTGATCAGCAAGCTGAAATATGAGTTAAAGAAAAATGAGGAAAAATTCTGCAGGTAGGAGATAAGGAATACAGAAGACAAAACCCTTGATGTATATTTTGTTGGAGTCCAGAGTTGCAGTAGGGAACTGAGTTGCAGCTCAGGATCCAGTTGTGGAATATACTGTAAAACTACAGTATATTCAGGATAAAACTGCTTTCCTGTTTCTGGCATTGAAATACCTTAGGAATGCAAGCCAAAAATAGAAAGGCTTATGCAACTTGCATTCTCGTTTCCAGTCTCTGCTATCCAGATACTGATGTAGTAACAGTAGAAATTACGTTAATGGTGCTTGATGCCAGGAAAACAATAGAAGATGCTGTTGAACAAATAAAAGTAGGGGAAGATATTTCCTTCTTTTGTCTTGTTTTCCTTTTAATAAAATATTAAAGCAGTGGAAAATCATCTTCTGAAAAAGCTGAGCCAAATATATGGTTTTAATGGTTACAGTGAAGAGTTGTACAAACAGTTCTAGACGTACCTCAAAGAAATAAAACAGCACTTCAGAACAGCGTATAGAAATATTCGCAGTGTAAGGTTTAATTATTTGACCTATTTGAAATTATGACAAATTTTGCAACAGTAGAAAGTTTATATTGAGATATTTTAAAGAAGAGTTATTTTGTAAAATGTAGAGCTTTACTAAAGGTGGGGGTGCTATAGCAAGCAAAACTGGAATTTGTCTTTTTTCTTCATTTTAATGCTTTAAAAGGTAAGAAAAAAATGTGGTTGTTTTTTTTTCTTTTTTCCCCCTTTTAACCGACCCTATTTTAAACAAGAATTTACTTCAAGAACCGTGCTTTGTATTATATATGATGTTAAACTAGAGGATCTCATTATTCCTTCTGCTTATATGCACTTGTGGAAATTCACATTTTGCATTCTGATTATCTACAAGTGCAATGCCTATAAGAAGGAACATGGGATACTGTGTATTTCAACTGCACAGAAAAACCGTTAACCAAGGCCTCTTAGTTTAGCTCCAAGAGAGTCCTCCTTTGGTTAAATCCTGAGTCCTTGGCTTAATTTTGTCTTCAGTTCTCCTTTGAGCAAGTAGCCCTGCCAGCCCACAAAGTTAAGCCATCAGGAAATATAAATATGTAAATGCTTGGTATTTCTCATATTCTGTTTCTGGGAAAGTTTTATTTAAAAAAAAAAAAAAAAAAGAACTAAAAATGCAGTGATAGCTTTGCAAGTGGACCCTTGGAAAATGTTCCTATGTTAGGGGAACAGGACTGACCTCTTATGTAATTAAAGCATTAAAGAACATAAGAAAAATATGGAAAATATATTTTTTATGATATTATGCTAGTCAGAAGCTTGTACTGTTCCGTGTTGTACTGTTTTGACATATAGCAGTGACCTTCTTTAACTGAAATTTCAGGTTGTGGGTCCATGTAGCAGGTGTCAAATAATCTGCATTGATCAACAGTCTGGGGAGCGAAACAAAGAAGTTCTGCAGTCTCTGTCTGCTGCAAGAGGTAGAAAGGTCAGTAAGTTACTCAAAAATAGCTGTACAGAAAGATGTAGTGCATTGCATGCATAGAGAAATACCTGCTGAGAGAATATTTACAATTACATTTTTATGCTAATCATTACCATTTGTTTTTGCAGTCAAAAGAGGATGCACTTGCAACCCAGATATGATATCTTTTATTTCCGTAAAATGTTCAACACATTTTAAATTCAGCAATTGGCTATTAATATGAATTATTTTTTATTGTTCTTGCTATTGTTCGGTATGTACCACTTTACAATGTGTTTATTTTGGTCTTGGCAAACATGAGCCAATGTGTTGATGTCATTCAAGAAGAGAAATGTGCAGAAAAATCACCAAGCGTTTGTGATGACACAATTAGCTCCTAAGACTCAACCTTACTCTTGTTGAGAAAAACTACTTAGCAGGAAATGCAGAGCAGACATGAATACAGACAAAGTTGAGAGTAATTGATTAGGAAAGAGACTGGGGAATAGGTTTGAAACACTAGGCATTGCTTTGGAGTCTTTCTGCTTGCTCAGGTTGCATTACTTCTTGGAACTGAGAGTACTCAGACGATGGCTAGACAGTTTGGCATCCTAAAAGCTTCACAAATCCCCTCAGAAGTATTTATTTAGCTGAAAAGCCTTGCTCTGAATTCACTCTTTACTGTTAAGCTTCTCTTGTAAAAAAGTTCATTGGCCACTCTGGGCTCAGAAGCCTCGCCAATAACAGCCAAACACCAGAGACTGGGCACAGCACGGAGGCAGAGCAATAACAAACAGGTTGCCAATTGTTCACCCAAACAATGCACAACCAAGTTACAAATAATGCCCTCTTTGTTAAAAAAAATAAAAAAATTAAAAAAAAAAATCAATTTGTCTCGGTGACTCATTAGGCAAACAAAGAGCTCCATTTCCAATGAGTGTTATCCTAGGGGAATAGCCCCGCTGGCTGGCTCCGTCTGGGAGCCAGCTGCCTGGTGCAGGGAGGGAGGCGAGCAGGCAGGGGCTGGCTGCCCAGGCACGGCTTCCTGCTGACCTGAGATGACTTGGGGTTGAACGGCAGGCTCTGGCATCCAGATTATTGCAGTACATGTGCGGTTGTGAGAGGAGCTTCTGGCCATGGTGGGTAGCCTGAGGACAAGAGCCTTCTCCAGGTAACGGGGCACTGCCGAGCATTTTCTGGGTAGGGGTGCTGCCCTGCTTCCACATGATGCATAGAGGGCTCTCTCTACCCACGTGCATTTTGCTCAATTGTGACTTAAAGCCTCTGCAAAGAAACAGCAGTCTGTATTTGGGGACCTTCTCAGGTGGCAAGGACAACTTCCCAGGAACACAGCTTCTCAGGAGAGGCAAAGCATCTCCTGCACGCTTCCCACAGCAAAAATAATAAAAAATAAAAAAATAAAAAATAAAAAAAGAGCTTTTCTTTGGTTTTGATTAACCCTGGCAATGCAAAGGCTTTCTTGATATGAAGACTCGTAGGACCATGTGACTCATTCCTACAGAATTAAGGCAGAGAGAGCCATCCAGCCTCTTGAGAACCTGGCATCAGATAAAAGGAGCAGGGCAAGGCAAGGCGCTGCAGAGCACAGTGCTGCTATTCACAGCAGGGGAGTGCTTTGCCTCCCTCAGCTGTGCAAAGATACTCATGCTGCAGAGAACAGGGCCTTCAGCTCTTTTATTTTTCCCAACCTTCAGCCAAAGATTACTCTCAGCATTGCTGGCAGAAGGAGCCTTTTGAGCATGCCCTGCTCTGCATAAGGCCAAGTCTTCTGGTAAGCTCAACAGCCAAAAGAGATAATTTGAACTGATAGCTTGTGTGAGTTAGTCTGTGAAGACTCCTGCAAGTCATCTGTGGGGTGATGGTCACCAGCTGCTTATCAGTGAGTAGCACCTGAGGGCTTTGGCATCTTCAGTGTGCTCAGCGGTCCTGGCAGAGGACACTCATCCAAACCTTCCACAGCAAGGAGGGGGAAGCAACACCGAGTTCATGTGGCTGTGCTAAATTGCGGAGCTAATCCTTTGGTGACTCATGTCTGTAGCATGTGCTTTTCTGTTGAGGAGTCATCTAATAGACATCACTTTATTATTTTTATCGAACACAGATTCGGTGAAGGAATCTAGCTGTGTTTGTTCCCAGCTGTCAGCAACACAATTTGAAGTACAACAAATGCAGCAAATATGATTTAAGCTAATTTCCCAGTACAAGGGGAACTGATATTTTTGAAAGGCCATTGTTGTTGCTCAATTTGAAAAACGTTAAAGACACCGCACGTGTGAATGGCCAGCAAATCCTGCATGCCAGATGTCAATATTTAATGTTTTGTTTTATTTTTTTCCAAAAATACCAACCCAGAGTAATATATTGTACTCTGTCAAGCTGGTAGCCCTAACTAAAGCACTGCCAATGAACTTCAATAATGATCAATAAAGTAAGGCTTGTAAGAGGTGGTTCAATATTTATTTCTGAAATCATATTTTTCTCCATTCCTCCGAGACTCTGAGAACCTGTTGCTCCAAGCTGAAAGACTGAGGCTTTGAATACGTGGATTACTACTGAAAGCCAGAACCAGCTACTGTAATTAGCCACACAAGCAATTTGCATGTTTCCCTATAAATGTACGGAAGGGTAATGAAGCCCAGCCAGCTACTTTTTATGAAACCTTTTTTTCACATTGTTTGAAATAAAATGCAAACATCTCTACAAAGCGAACTTCAGTTCTACTGCCACAAGTTCTGAAAAAGTACTCATTAAGAATTCCTTCTGTAATTTTTGACTGAAAAGGAAAAAATGAGCTCTCCTTCTGTGACAGAGCTCTCTGTGGCTGCAGAAGGCTACAAAAGACTAGATAACGACATTAAGCAAATAGCATAAAAATAGCCACATGCTGTTCCCCATGCGTCACCACCTGATGCAAAAGGCACAGGGACAGGAAGGAGGGAACACTGAATTCTTGCCCATCTTCTGGGCTTTGCAGATGCAGTTTAACGCTAACAATAGCGGAAGCCCTGTGGTGGATTTGCAGCAGTGCTATGAGCTGGGACTTGCTGTCAAGGTAGCAAAGGGAATTGCATTCGCAGCCTGCCCCAGCAGCCTGTATGCATGGAATGTATGGATAGCGGTACATCAAGGGAAATCCATTGTGTTTGTACATGCCCTTCTGCACTGAAAAGGTTTGTGTTTTTTTCCTGTGGGCTGTTGATCCTCTTTTATGTCTCTCATTGTGCCTGGGAGAGCTCCCTTTCCTGCGGAATTAGACGCCACACCTTTGGACTGCTTAGTGAAACGTTAGCAGGGATAGCAAATGACTTCTCTTATCTGATGCATCATTATCATCATTTTCATAGTAATGCTGGGCTTTACCTGTGCACTGCTTTTCATCCAAAGATCTGGAACACTTGCAAACAGTGACTGGTGTAATTAGTAGACCTCCGAAATAATATGCTTCTTTTCTTGTTCGTGTGCAAAGTGGGAAATACATTTCTTTAAGGCAGAGAGCAAAGGAAAATCAGTTCTTAATAAAACACTCTGCTGTCCAGACATTTTCAACAAAACAAAATGTTTGGGGCTTTTTGACATCAAGTTAAAACTTTTCTTTCTTTCCAATATGAAAAATTAACATATTAAAAGCAAGTGCTTCCACTACCCTATTTTCAGAGAATCACAGAAGTATTAAGGTTGGAAAAGACCTCCAAGATCATCTGGTCCAATCATCCCCCTACCACCACTATCACCCACTAAACCATGTCCCTAAGCACCACATCCAGCCTTTCCTTAAACACCCCCAGAGACGGTGACTCCACCACCTCCTTGGGCAACCTGTTCCAATGCCTGACTGCTCTTTCTGAGAAGAAATGTCTCCAAATTTCCAACCTGAACCTCCCCTGTCTCAATTTGAGGCCATTCCCTCTAGTCCTATCACTAGTCCTATCTGTGAGAAGAGGCCGACCCCCAGCTCCCCACAATCTCCCTTCAAATAGTTAAAGAGAGCTTAACTGACTTATTTTGTAAGCCTTTACTGATAAGTTTTGGTGCAATCAGAGCTAATAAAACATCCTTGCATTAAAAAGAAATAAAATCACGCAGCTTTAATAATTGCATCTTCCAAACCTTCGCATGGGAGGGAGGAGGTTATGTTATAAGAATAAAGAGAGCAGGTGAATTTATCTGTTGATAGAAAGCAGCTGTGCTACATCCAGGAGCACAATCTAGAGCTCCTCTGTCCAAAGCTAAGTGTTAGTATTCAGTGTCGTTTGTGTGCTTGTTACACGTTCTAGCAGGGCACTTTCCCTACCAAGTGCAAGTTTGAATTAACCAACTATTTAGGAGCAGTATCTTAAAGGCCTCTCATCTTAAAGGCCTTTGTCACATGTAGCACCTCCCATTTCTGTCTAACAAAAGGAGATAGGGTACCCAGGATGTTCCTCTGCCATGTTTTGTAAACATCCAAGTGCATATTGCTGTTGGTGCAGTAAAAGTATTTGAAACAACATGCAGGAATGACAGCATTTTATAGCTCCTCCTTTCAGTGAGCGTGATGACTATTGTGTGATTCACTATTGGCAAGAGTAGGTACGTTTCATCCTTTTATCCCAGCAGTGAATGTTGTAGTTTTACTGATCAAGAAGCATTACGTGAAGTTTGAGAGTGATAGGAAGAGTCCCTGCTGCCACCTGTGTCACAATCCAGCCCTTTGCTCTGCTCTGGGTGTGCTCTGGAGAGTTTATATGCCAAATAAAATGCCCTTGAAGTTGGGAAAGGGTAGCAACAGCAGAAGGAGATTATGCAGTTCATTGTAATGACTCTGCAGGCTGTAATCTCTGTGCCTGAAAGCCTCATTTTTCAACACTGAAATGTGAGAAGGGACAATTTTCCACATTTTGTCGTTCTCTTGAAACGGAGTCAGAATGACAGGATGCGCAGCTTTTGTGGTTGTTTGGGGGTATTTTTGCTGAGTCAATATTTGTAATTACTAGAAAAGCAAGGAAATTTACTTAAAAGATACTAAATCCATTTCTGGTAATCACAAGCAAATTTCTGGTCATTCAGAAGACCAAGACGTCAGCAATGAAAGTGATTTTACAGGAAAACACTCATCCAAACAGGCATTAATACCGAAATATTTATACCATCAGTATAATATCACCTTGAAAACTCCTTAGTCATCATCCAAGCTCAGAACTCAAAGAAATACTGAGACCTAGATGCCCAGTCAGAGTAGAGAAATAATTGCAATATTTTAATGCATTAAAATAGTATTTAAGAACTCCTGCAAATAAGGTACACTCACACACACCTTTTCTTAAATAATGATGGGGGGTTTAAAGTGCTTTAAGAAAAAAAAAAATGTGGCTGAATGATTCAGAGCAATAGAAATAAGGAAAATTAAATTATCCATACTGAACAATCTGCCTTCATTTATGTTAGTCTTTTTAAGGTAAGTCAAGTTGTCAATACAGTGAATATACGTTAAAAATTTTCACGTATCAAATTAGTTGACTAACACAGATGAGTTATAAAATTCCTTCCTGTGTGAAGTATGGGGTAGCATGGACTAATATTCATTTTATAATACTTGTTTTATGATTGCCTGATTTTTTTAAACAATTAAATTATGGCAACTGTCATTTTTACATTAGGGTGCAGGAATTAAATGCAGGATATTTACTTCAAGGCTGAAAAAGACATTATTTATGCCAGTGGAGAAACCACCGCGTGTCAACAAATAAGAGAAAAACAAGAAAAGGGTATTAATATTATGTACTCTCATATTTTAAATGAAGCAGTTACTGACTTACCATTTTGCTATTATGGTTTATCCAGTGCAGTCACTGTGCTAGTGGATTGGTATCCTGCTGCACTGAGGTCACTCCACAGCATTTCATACTCGAACACTCACCAGAAGGATCTACCCCACTACATCCACTGGTGTTGGCACCACTGTGGTCACTGGTACCCAAAAAGTATCATTAGTAGGACAGGCCTGAGCAGGTCCATTTAGGTGGAATGCCTGTGAGATGAAGAAATAACAGAAACAACCAAAAAGATTTACTTTTTACTATTTTTTTTACGATTTTTCATTGTAATGTTTAGAATTACAAATGAAAGAGAAAGACCCCAGTTCAGAGCCATACTGGGGCAATGTTTGGATAGATCTCTGCTTTATGGCATCGCAGTTGCTTGAGAGTAGGTCTCAGCCTTAAATCTTGCTAATTCTTTGAAGACTAAAAGCTGTTTCATGTTACCTCATTACTGTATTTTTATATAATTATATAGTGCAGGAATTTGAGTAAACATCCTGCATTTTAAGCCTATCAAACATGCTCCCTTAAATTCAACCAATACATTTGGTTACTTTTAATTTATTGCAATTCCTTTAGTATATTTTTCTAAACCTGCTGTAAATGTAATTCCCTCTGTTTAAGGATCATTGATCTGAACAATGGCAAAAAATGTCATCAGGAAATGGAGAAGGAGTGCAGAGTTTTATTTAAAAAATGTGTTTGTTCAGACATACCAAATGAATTACATTTGCTTATTTATTTATATTACGCTTTCAAATGACTGTTCATTTGTAGCCTATGAAAATCAAATACTTTTTATTGAAACCTGTAAAAAATTGACAAGAAAACTAATGTTGGCTTTCCAAGTCCTTCGGTTTGAAGAGCAAAGACATTCTGAAGTATAAAATTCAATTATCAATTTAACATGGTCTTCAGTGTTAGTTTCTTTCTTTCTTAAGTATTTTTTTAAGCTAACTGTTTTCTGATTGCTTGGAAAATATTATCCTAAGGTTGCAAATCTGTTTCTTGCTGCACGTTTCTATGTTCTCCACAGGTGGAAAATAAAACCACAGAAGCATGCCAGTGTTTAATGTGACATTTCCACATCACACCCAGCTGTTGGTAGCTGTAACTGTAATGTTTAATGTCCTTAAAATTAATACCATATATGTGAGTGCAGACACTCAGACCAGATTTTCAGTGCCTCTGAGCATTTATATAGTAGGTGAAGTGGTTATCCTCCTTCTTGTTTCTTTATTATCCAGTAATACAAGGACATATCGAAGTATTTGTAATATTTACATAGGGTGGCTTCACCGCTAATGACAGATAACAAGCGTTAATTATAATAAAACAAACTTTCTGAATATTTTCTGTAAAATACACTGAGATATTAATAAAAGCATATGAAGGGAAATTCACCAAGGCTAGACAGAACAAAGTTCTGTTAAGAAAGCAAACAATTCATGGTAGAAGACACAAGACTTTTCCTCACTGTTTGAACATACATGCATGCTGATGCTGCCTAGCCTTTATTTGTGGAAATGTATTAACCGTATTTGTCAAGAAGCCAGAAGAGTCATTAAATGACAAGACTGTGAGCGAGTGTAAATTACATATATGATACTGTGGAACTCATGATGAAACACTCTGTTATTTATCCACTTACTTAAGGTATTCTTCTTAAATAGCATGGGGTTAGCTCTTGTTTACCAGTCTATTATAGTTAATTAGTTAAAATGTTCTTAATTACATTGAGATCACACATACATCCTTATTCTTAAAGCAGCATTGTTTTTCTAAGCATATCTGAGTTGTGAGATCCTCCATAGATCTGATTACTTTACCATGAGTAGCATCTCAATGAATATTTTGTTTTGTGTTTTTGTTTTTTTTTTTTTTCAGACAAACTTTGGCGTATACCTGATGAACCAGCCTTTGTGCTCGTCCTTTCCAGATACATTATCTGTTGGGTCTCAAGTACTTCCAGTGTTGAAGGAGAATACAGAAATTCAACGCCCAACATCCAGTGAAGAAAAATGTTCAGGATAAAAGTTGAGACTTACATGCAACTCTAGGAAGAAGTCAGTAGTCAGTTATTCAAAAAGAAAAAAATCTTCCGCTCATTTGCTTCAGCTTTGAGTTTTTTAATTTTCTGTTTGCAGTAAACGTTATCAGATGGCAGTACTCTTGATAATTACACCTCACCTACATGTTTTTGCTTGCGATTAAGTTACAGCAACCATAACTCTTATTTTGTTCAATTGCTTCAGGATGCAACAGGTTTGATCAAGTTTTACTAGTGGATGACTCCCAAAACAAGCCCAGTGTTGTTGTCAGAAACCCACATCTCAATGAAGGAAAGTAAACATAACAATGAACTACTTCCTTATGCTGCTTTGTTAAAACCACATTTGGAAGAGAGGATGCAGGACGTGCTTTAGAAACAACGTAGGTGGGAAGGGGATAGTGGAAGAGTGGCAGTCCTTTCAGCTTTTCAAAAGTGAAGCTGCAGGTGACGTACAGACAGTCTGAAGCACAGAAGAGTGCGTTGGCACTGGAAAATATGTGTCATCATCTTGGGAAAAGGTGTCTGAGGATGCCAAAAAGACGCAAAGATCAATGAAGATTCAGTATGCCTTTACAAAAAGATGTTCCTATGAAGCAATTTCATCCATTTGTTCTCGACATCTTTTTCTCATTCCCACTTGCCACTTTTCTATCTGATCCGTTTTATGTGATGACTTCCCACACGTTTCCATATGTATTTGAGACTGTTGACATATTATTTCTAATAAGAGATTTCTCAACTAATCCAGTCATGATTTCTATACAAACTTTGCTTATGCTCAGCAATCTCAAATGGCCAAGATGTTGAAACATCCACTTGAGGGAATTCTTGAAAGTCTGAATGCTCCTCCATCCTGAAAAGGTCAAAGCATTCTTTTTTCTTACTCATTGTGGTAGTTCCTAAGCATTTGATAATGCCTTCTTGGAAGGCTTTTAAGTTCTTGACTGCCCTAAATGACTCATGCTTTCTGATTGTCTGAAATCTAGGACTTAACTGATATGTGAATTCTTGCAAAAATAAGTAAATAAATAAAGCCACACAATGAGAGAGAGAGAAAGAGGGAGAGAGGAAGAGAGAGAGAGGGAGGAAGAAAGAAAAAGAAGCCTTGAGAAGGCAATATAAAACAAGATTGAACGTACTGTGGCCAGGTGTTTTATGACTGCCAGCATGTGTTCAACCAGCCACAGGGCAATTTCATACTTCCAGGAAGTCCTCCTGGAAAAGGAAATTCTTCTAGATTGGCTGCTTTATTGCCAATTGGGAAGGGAAATTTTGACCCCATTAAAAGCACTGTCTGAACTCTCTCATCCAGCATGATTTAGGCCTTCCTTGGAGTAGTTTTGGCTCAAACTGTGTGAAAGTGCTTCTGGCTGAATCAATGCTTGAGTCTTTGAGCGTAGCCCTCGAGGGGAGCAGGCAGCTTTGTGAAAGAATTGGTCAAACAGTCCTTCTGAAAAGGGAGTGATTACCCCAGAGCAGCATACAGTGGGAAAAGGGAAGTGCATCACCCGGTGTGTGAATCAGAATTCAGCAGATAGGTAGTCTTTTCTTTCCTTTCTCTTTTTTTGTTCTTTTGAAGAACTGGTTTTACTCACTTCAGCTGGAACAGACTGTTATTAGTCTCTCAGCAGAGCTTTGTAATGGAAATAAGGAGAGACACTATCTGTTTCTTACAACCTGCCATAAAATATGTGGATAGGGAGAGGTGTTTTATATGTATGTAAACTGAGGATCAGGTTTTTGAGGATTTTGTGAGTTGTATCTTCCACTTCAGAGCACAAGCAATGCTCCTTGATGTCTGCTTTGAAAGCCAGCGGTTTTATCTGTCTAATAGTCAATTATCTGATGTTGTAATGAGCAGGCTTTTTGGAAGCTTGAAAAGCAGTTTCCTGGTTTCTACATCTCTTTTGCTGTTTCACTCTTTGCCTTTCTGTTATGCAGAACATTGCTTTGTTGGATAGAAAGCCAGCACAGTGCTGGCAAATTTAATATGAAGAGACCTGCTGTATGCTGACCTTCAGGTGATCTCTGGCACTTTACTCTGTCCTCTTCACCTCACCAGTATGTCATTTGTTTAAAATGGCACAGAAGTTAGAAGAGGAAATTGAAAGCAAACCTCAGCAAGCTCTGTTTTGCTTGTTATTGGATTTACTGGCAAATAAGTCACTTTGATACACAGTGGCTTGACAAATACTGTTTGTAAATAGCCTTAATGCAATGTATGATAACTAAGGATGAGAGGATTTGAACTTTAAAAATGTCATGCTTGGTCATTCTGGCCTATTATTTACAGGCAATTACACTTTCTCTCTCCTGTGGCCTAGTAATATTGCATCAAGAACAATTTTGTCATTTTACAGGGGGGAAAAAACAGTTTCTCTGATGTACGAACACTCTCATTAGTATATTCTGTGCATTTCCCACAAGGAACATCTTTGCACTGTAGTGATAGGAAATGTCACGGTGCTTCAGATTGATGGAAGAGACACAAGGATTCTTTCATCTCAACAAAGAATAATATTTCCCTTATAGTAAGTGGAGTGTCACCACCAGTATTGAGATGTCTTCCCATCAATGAAGACAGATCCTTCTCAATGCCAGTACTTTGTGGAAAATCTTGAAGTAGGAGGATTCATGCTTAAACATCACGCACTGTAAGTTTTGTAGAAAGAACATCCTTCCCATAATGTGATAAAAAATTCAAAGAATTGAGAAACTGAGCATAATACAAACTGAGGTATGGCATGAGCGAAAAGGACATTAAAACTTCAAAACACCATGTATATTATGTAGAAAGATTAAGTGCTTTATTAAGGGGTCACTTCTCAATGTTCTGAGTATATAGAAAAAATACAATTTCATATGAATGCAGACTCTTTCATCTAAGTACTCTCATTGCGGCAAAATTAAATCTTTGGACTAATTACAGATATATATTTACTTTCTATGGATAAAAAATGTATTTAATACAGCATTTCCAGAGTGCTGTGTGTAGAAAGTCCTCTACATATTTGAAAACTAAGTCTATATTTCCTTACGATAAATTATTCAGACACATTCCATTTTCTGTGAGACTTAACTCCTCAAATCTCGAGGCAAAAATTATGATTATTACAAGCTCCAGTAATAGCCAAGAGGCTGGAATCACAGAACATAAATCCACATTTTTAGGAGAAGCCTCTGAACTGTGTTCACTGATATGACTAAGATAATTCAGACACATTGCATTTATACATTTTCAGTGGCATCTTTCAAAATGTGGTCAAAAATTTTGGCCATTTTTCTGTCCAAATCATGTACAAATCAAAAGGAAAGACTGCATAATAACTTGATTGTTGTTCATAAGTTATGGAAATTATGCTACGCATTTCTTCTTCAGTCTCTTTTTTAACTTTCTTGGAAATGAGGTCAATAAAATACATATTGGGCTCGACATGCCTAGTGGTGGTGTTTGCATTCTTGAACTTCGAGCTCGGGAGATGCTAAGTTCTGCTTTGAGGCATTGCTGGGCTCACTGGGCGAGCCTGTGGCTGACTGGCAGGATGTCTCATCGCTGCTGGGATTCACAGGTGAGGTGTTCCTGCAGCTACCGCGCTGACAGCCGCTGCCGAGTCAGCATGCCAATCAGTTGCATACTCGGTTCAGGCCCTGCACATAATGCAGTAATAATCACTGGTTTCCTGTAAAATCTTTCCAGGGACACTCCCGCTGGAGCCACCTCTGATATCCAGAGGTTAGAGGTCGGAGCCTTCACCAAAGGTGTTAGAGAAGAGTGCATCCAGTTCCCTCTCCTTTGCCTGGAGTCATCCAGCACCATCTTTCCTTCCCCCTGCATGAACCACGGGCAGTAGGCGAGACTGGGGGCTGAACATGGCTGGGCGTGTGTGGGAATTGCAGGAAGGCCTGTCACTCCCTTCTCACCGGGTTTACACGGAAATGATCCATGATTCACTGAGCCAGAGAGAGAGGGACAGGGACACAATGAGACAGGACCCGAGCGTGACTCTGAGCTACCCATTCACGCTCTTTCGGACTCGCTGAGGATGGGAGGGGAAGAATGACTGTAACCCAGCGGGTAGGTGGCTCCGATGGAGTTGAAAGATGTGCGTATGTCCCCGTCCCTGTGATTACACAGCTGTCATGAGGCAGCTGCTCAGACAAAACATAGGCACGGCTCCTGCGGATGGGAGGAGAAGGCAGAGCGCTCCTCTGCCCTACTGGGCTCGTCAGCCAGTGGGCTACAGAGGCTTGTGTCCTTCCTTCCTCAGGCTGTCAGCGCTTCAGAGCAACATGGAGCTAAAACAAGACCAGATGGGAACGCCCCGAATGGGTTTTGGAAGAGGCAACCCCAGCAGATGTGAGTTGAGGCCTCTCAGGGAGAAGCAGGAAAACAACCCCATGTTTCTGACCACCTGCTAGTTGCACCAGCCTGGAGGCCAGAGCGAAAAGAAGAGAAAAAAATGTGGGATGGAAAGAAAAGCAGCATCCCCTAAAGTCAAATTTTAAAAGAAAGTAGTAAGACGCATCTCTCCTTCACAGAGTTTGTAATTTATTTTTATGAAAGAAAGGACTTCGGTACCCTCAGGCCTACAAATCGGATTCAGAGGATCAGACTCGGAATCAACAACAGAGAGGTACCTCCTAAGCAAGGTGCCATTTAAGATGCCTCTGCTCCCTCCCTTTCATGCAAACTCAGTGTGATGGCTATTGTGGGTCCCTCTTGGTGGAAAAGAAAATAGGCAGGTGCCCTGCGTTAGGACGTGACTCACTCAGGGCTGCAGAGAGAGATGTTAGGGAGGTTTGACGTGAGGCATCCCTCCCTGAGCATCACTGCCATGTGCAGAGGCACACAGGGAACCTCTGTGTAGTAATCACAGCAGTGCATGTCACAGAGCTACTTAGTCATCTTTCTGCTCTGCTATTAAGTCATCCTGGAAGGATGGTAATCAGGAGCTGTGATCGTAGGGAACAGACGATGGCAAAAGCAGGATGGGGAAAGTGAACAAATGAAAAAAAAAGAAAAAAAAAATGCATGTGGTGGCATTTATGACCAAGAATTGTTCAAGGGTTTCTCAAGTACCCACCAAGTATGACGCAATGTAAGAAACAAGGGGAGTTTGATTTAGAAGACACAAAAGAAGTGTCTGGTGCAGTGCTGCTGCCATTTTGTCACTGATGTGCCCCTTTTGAGTTACTGTTTGCTAGCTAATGAATAGACAGATGAAAGTACTGGTGAAGGTTGTTGGTGTGACATGAGAACAGCCGCCTCATGACAGATCTGAAATTATGCTGAAAATGGAGAACCACTTGCACATGCACAGCCTGTAATTAGCTGCATTTCTATGTTAATCCCAGTTTCTGGCGTGAGCCCAGCTATTCCAGACCTGCAACCAAAGATCGTCAGCACAGTGAAAATCTGGATGTCAACATCAGCTTATCCCAGATGACCAGTATATTCCATCCTTGAGCTCATCTCATGCTTTCTGCTGCTTTTCAGAGGTAAGTGTCCCATCTGGATTCAAGTACCCTGGCTGGAATTTGTAATGCAGAGATGGCTTCTCAGTCCAGAAGTGAGATCAGCTTTCAGTTTCTGAATAGGCTGTGTTTTTCCATAAGGATGTGTCTGAAATGCCAGCCATGACCTAATGTCAACTCTGTTGTTTTCTGGTACTTATAAGGGATGGATCGGATAAAGTTGTTGAAAGTTCACAAGTTACTATTTCCCAAAACAAAACAAACCTAGAAGACTATAGAGGGCCCTGCACTGCTGGACCCTGCTCATTCCCACAAATAAAAGAGTCTCTGAGGTATCCATCATTGTTTTCATGGTTGTAATTTCCTGTGGGTTGTGTATTAGATATTTGTAATTTCACTGATTTAGCCAAATGCTATGGACTCCCCACAGCTTTTGTATTTAGTGCCATATTAAATAAGTTTCTTTTAGGGAATTCTTCAATAATGAAATGAAATTGAATTTGCCTTGCATCAAGTGTTTGCCTTTATTCTGTTTTAAGGAACCAGAATGCACAATTTGTGTATTTGACTTGATAACCAAAGCTCAATGCAATGATTTAATGCGCTTGAAAAGAGAAAGCTCTCATCTGTATTAGTTTATTTGTCAGTCAATACTTGTAAGAAGATGTAATGTTCCTCGGTAACTCATCATGACTCTCTAGGAAATTGGAAAAAAGAGCTAAGCTACAGGATTGGGACATGGCTGGCGAACACTCGTAATCTGGAAGAGTTTACGCTGCTCATCTATCTATTTTCAAGCACAAGAAGCAGAACAGTCTAAAGCATTTTATTTTTAGTCTTGGAAAGTCACCTCTGAAAAAAAGCACCCATATTTTTCCAAGGGAGCACAGGATGTGGCAGCCCATGTTTCGCATCGGACCCACGGCTCGGCCTCTAGCTAAGCAAAATGGGTGCAGTCGGTGCAGGCAGGAGTCCTCAGACATGTAAAATGGCAGAATAAAGTTCTGTAATGCAGCTTTATACCCTTTCTTTTTCATCATACACCATGGAGCAGCTTACATTAGATAGCTGGCTGAAACCTGAGTATCTCAAGCCCCAGGACCAGGGGCCCATGCCCCTCTCCAGACACCGCCTGACCCGCTGTGCCCTGCTCAGAATTTGTCCCACGAACATGGTCTGAAAACAGCCACTGCCAGCTCCTGCCACAGCACCTGGGTTGTACATCATGGCCAGAGACAATTAGAGCAATTAAAAGCCAGTAGACTTTGCTAACTTAGCTTGCTAAGCTCAGAGGGTTTCCAGTTAGCTAGTGCATGGTTTTATGTTAGGGAAGTACTCTGTCAAGTTAACATGCTATTTTATGTCTTGTAGTGGTGTAATGGATTCATTTGGTATTCATTCAATCTCACATGCTTTTCCTACTGCCACAGCGTGGTAATTTGGAACTATTTACGGGCAAAGTGAGGAATATGTCGAGGAAGAGAGAACCTGACATTTCATTGAGTGGGTAACCTGACATGATCGGTTGCATTAGTCAAGCAAGACTGAGGGTTGTGTACATCAGCAGCAGCTTGCCTGAAACGTTATGAAAAATGCAAGTGGATTCCTACTAGGCCTTTGTTTCAAAGTGTAAAAACAATACAGGCGAGCAACCATGTAGTTAAAAAGTGATGTATCATTTAAATGAGACCATCAGGTATTACAATTACCATATATATCTGCACTTATATTAGAGAAATATTATTCAAATAAGAACACCTGGACTGGGAGGGTCATTCTATAGCCTATTTTATTCCTTCTATTTTCTTCCTGTTACCATCTCCAAAATACTGATGGGCAAAAATATTTTCTTAAATTATAATTCCTACTTTGTAAGAGGAATTTTGCTTTGAAAAGGCCAAAACCATACACAGCTTTCAGAGTTTAAAGACTACAAGTTAGCCTTACAGTAGTATTACACAATCAATCAGTTGGAAAAATGGCTGTGACATTAGTCAAACAGAAAAAAATCAAGAGTAATTCAGCAGTTAGAGGGGGATGTATAGAGTCAGTCATTACGTTATCTGTGAGGAGGAATGCATGCTGGAAGGCAATTCCCTTAACACACACACACACACATGTAACTCTCAGAAATGGCCCATATTAGGAAATTTTCCTATGTTTGCATGGGTATTTTCTGACATCTCTGATGATGAGTTTCATATCACAAAGAACAGGCAGAGATAGAAAAGCAAAGGGGCATCAGACAGCAAGTGCTGGAACACAGTGAAATGATGGATTTTTTTTTTTCTGTCCCCAACATTCTCCGTAGGTAAAAACTATCAAAATTGGGTTTAGAAAGAATATCAAAAATACATGTGAATAATAAAACTATTCATGTATAGTACAATGCATTGATATAAACAAAAACAATTTATAGGTTTATGAAGCTTCTTATCATAGTTCATCCTACCAATTCTGGTTATTGCAGCCCACTAACTACTGAACCCTGGATTAAAGTCACTGAAATTATGTTAGTTATTGTCAGCTAATTCTTGGAAAAGTTACTCATAGCAGCCTACAGCTTCCTCACGAGGGGAGCAAAGGGGCAGGCACTGAGCTCTGCTCTCTGGGGACAGCAATAGGACCTGAGGGAACAGCATGGAGCTGGGACAGGGGAGGGTCAGGCTGGGAATCATGCTAGGATTCTGTGGATATGGAAATAGTGATAAAGCTAGTGACCAAAGCAGTTGTGACCAAAGCAGTTACACAACAAACTAAAGTTTAAAATCATAGGCATTAAAATCATTTCTGGATACAAGATTGGGACAGGGAAATCTTATGAAGCAAAATACTTTTTCTCAGAAAAAAAAAAAAAAGAAGAAGGAAAGAAAGAAAACTTCTGGCTCTTAATCTTGCAATGAAAAGCTGAAAAGCTTTTCAGCTGTAGCAAGAGCTGCTGGTTCAGAAATATCATGA